CCCAGAGGGGCAGGAGGATGAGGGGAAGTGGGGATGATGACTAACTGGCTAGAATAGGAAGAAGCAGTAGTCCAAATAGGGATGAGGGGAAAACGCGAGAAATACATCACAAGCGGCGAGAGTGCCGAAGGCAATCCGCGAAGCTCGGGGGTTGCGGAGCTTACGGAGGTTACGGAGGCGGGGTTGAAAGTCCGAGGGATATTGGCAATGGTGTTTACGTAGTATGAGGTCACCAATGCAATGGACTAAGACCGAGGTGGAGTCAAAGTCCGAGGTAGGGACTATGACGGAGGCTCGGAGCAAGGTACGAGCGGTGTCCAAGTGCGAAGTACGGAACAGCAGTGGAAGGTCGTAACTTGGCAGAAGGGTGGCGGAGGAGTAACAGAGGGAGGAGAGAGGGGAAAGGTAAGGAAGAAGGAGTGGTGGAAAGGAGAGTAGTCAGGTCCGAAGGCGAGTATCGGAACGGATGGGGGAAGTGTAGGGGGATAACGGGAGGGTGGAGGTGTTGTGAAGGGGGAGCAGAGTAGTAGGAGGGTGGCGAGAGGGGCGGTGTTCGGTCCGAGATGAGTATCGGAGCGGACAGAGATAGGGTCGGGGAGGTAAGGAGGAGGTGTGTTGCCAGGACCGAAGGTGAGTATCGGAACGGCAGCGGTAGGTTATGACTCCGGAGGTGAAGAGGGTGGAGGTCCGGAAGTCGGGTCGGGGTCGGGTATGCACGGATATGACACTTGAGACAGGAAGGAGGGGGATAGGAATCTCACTGAGGGTCAGGTCAATGGTGGTATATTGGTCCTCTAGAGTGTGGTGCTGATAACTCTCTAGCTAACTGTACAGCGGGTCCTGGAAGAGTCTGATAGACAAAATAGGAAAGAATATCACATGACAATAAGAAAATGGAAACATCGGCCTCTAGACATCGGAAATGGAATCAGAAAAATTAGGAAAAATAGGAAATGTGTGTAAAGAGTGTGAGGGGATATATGTAGGCTACATGTGATGGATGTGAGGTGCTTGCTGAGGGTGGTAGAATTGCGGGATTTGGCTTGTTTAGGGTACACTGGCAAATCCCCGTTACAATGTAGCTCTTGACGAAGCTACGGATGCCTGGCCAGGTATACTCACGACATACTAGATCCAGAGTCCAGTTTTGACCAAAGTGTCTGGAAAGTTGGTGGTCGTGTTTGTCTCGCAAAATGCGGAGACGAAGATTGTTGGAATCCGGAACATAGATGCAGTTGTCCAGCCTTAACAGGCCTTTGGCATCAATGGACCAGCGGGAATTGGGGAGGTTGGGGGAAGCGAGATGAGAAGAGATTGTGGTATCAGAGGAGAGGGAGGCTAGAATGTCTTGATGGAGAGCCTCTGTGTCAACGAGTACGGCTGCTCGGATTACTGTGGCAGCTAGGAACGTGGCTTGTAAGGATGCAGTGAGCTGCTCCGAAGTGAAGACTGGTTGGAAGTTTTGCGGATTGATGCGAGCGTAGTCCATATCCCCTTCTTTGGGATAGACGTCCCAGTGTCTAGTCAATGCATCTGGTTTTACTCCGAGTCTTCCGGGATGGAATCGGACAGTCATGTGGAACTGGGAGAGGAACTCTGACCAGCAGGCTTGCCGCCGGGTCAAGAGTTTGGTGGTAGAAAAATACTCGAGGTTCTTGTGGTCGGTAACGACGTCGATTGGAGTACCTGAACCTTCAAGGTAGTGATGCCACAATCAGAATGCATCATGGATGGCAAGCAGTTCCTTATCATGGGTGTCGTAATTGAGCTCCGGTGCCGAGAGTGTTCTAGAGCGGAAAGCGATGGGGTGAATCTCTCTGTCATCACAACGGATGGACAGGATTCTGGAGATCATGTAATTGGAGGCATCGGTTTCTACAATGAGGGGGGCATCAGGTAACCAATGTGTCAGGATAGGGGCGGAAGTGAAGGCTTCTTTCAAGGTGTTGAAAGCGGAGCGACAGTCATCAGAGAATAACCAGGGGGCTCCTTTACACGTAAGGCATGTCAAGGGGACCACAATGTCAGAGTATTGGTGGATGAAATGCTGATAGAAGTTAGCGAAGCCAAGGAAGGACTGGACATCCTTGACTTTATGGGGCTCGGGCCAATCTTGGACAGCTTTAACCTTCTTGATGGACATGGTGAGTCCAGAGGGAGAAAGGCAGTATCCAAGATATTCCATAGTGTCCATATGAAATTCGCATTTCTTCGGATTGGCATATAGGCCATGTTTGCGGAGTCTCCTAAGAACTTCTCGGACATGCTCCTGATGTGAAGCCATGTCTTCCGAGTAGGTAAGGATGTCGTCTAGGTAGACTACCACAGAAACATCCAAGAGGTCGGCAAAGATCGTGTTGACGAATCGCTGGAAGGCCGCAGGTGCATTCGTGAGACCGAATGGCATGACAATGTCAGGGGACGTGTGTGCTCGTGCAAGATGCTCCGATAACCTAGTTGTGATTAAAGCCAGGGGAAAGGGATGTCCCCATCTTAGGGTCAGCTATATACATGTAGAGTCCGGCAATAAGGAAACCAAACGGATTGCCGATAGAATCACATGATCATAGAATGTTCCAGAACAATGCCGGAGATGATCCGTGTTACGGATACGGAGTCTCCAACGACCATATCCGTTGCATGGTCAAAGACTTCCCCTCTCTATCGCTCCTCCCCTCTTTCTCCTTTCCGTCCTCTATCCCGCTACCCTATCCTCCTTACCCGTTCTACCCCTTTCCCCCCCTCGTGCAAAGCTTTCCCCATTGGGGTTTTGGTGCTGGCCGAGGTTGTTTGTGTTTCGCGGGATTTCCCGCGACCTTACCATTTGTAGATAGTCACGCGTCATGTACGGAAACCGCTGAAGGCGGTTCCCGCTAACTAACAACTGCTCTACAACTGTCTCGTGTACCGTCTTCTGTAACAACCCTCCCTGTGACTCAACTGAACCTGTGTGACTGTACAACTCTCAATATGTCTTATAAGTCTGGTTATATCGAGTCCTCTAACGGCCCTCGCCGCGAGAACTCGAAGTCGAGAGTCGAAGACTCTCGACGTGTGTATCGTCCTATTGAACCTGTACCCTATGGGTCTTCATCACTCCGCTCTCCCCCCAGTACTCAACATACGACGTCCCATCACGATCATGGTGATCGTGAACACTATGAGGCCCACTTACCCTCGATGCCGGCACGTTCGCTACGCGAACGCCAAGTAGCCGCCCATCCACCGTCTGTTTCTTCCTTTGCCAGTCATCATATGTCCCTGCCAACAGTACGTTCCCTTTGGGAACGCCAAGTCACCGAAGGCCCTAATAGTCAGCCCTCATTGCACGCCTACGATATCAACCCGCTACCGGTACGTTCGCACTGCGAACGCCAAGTACCTGATGGCAACTATGCGAAGCTCTCACCCATCTCACCAGTCGCGACCTCGCACACGGTACGCTCCATTGAGGAGCGCCAAGTATCCGTGGCTGACCCATCTGTCCTGATATCTCCGACTATCAATCATCAATCCCTTAATAGCTCACTACATCACCCATCGCGATCGATGGGAATTCGATCGCCCACTCCCAGGTCAGACTGGGATCACTCATCGATTACACTTCCAGTTATGGTACAAACTAGACATGACTCTCGCCTTCCCACTATAAGAACGGACCGAGGAATGGGGAATTTCCCCCATCCCCGTAACAATCCGGGTCACCGGGGCTTAGGTAAGCGGAGTAGATGGGAATTACCGGCATACTTCCCACGCGCATACATGCAGCCAGCATAGGGTCCAGGGTCATTGCTGATCCCTGACAGACAAGCCACTTGTCAGGGCATACACCCTGACCTAGTGTTAGAACCGGGCAGATTCGGACGACTCCGGAATGGAATCGGAGACTTAGCATGGAAGGACCTCGGCCTCAGTGACTCAGGTGGAGCGCTGTGCCATTGCTGGTTGTCCTAGGGGTCCCTAATTTCGGATCTAGCAGAGGGAAAGTCTCTTGGGGGGATTTCAGGTCGATTTCGGACTGAGGTTACAAGTTACTATGTACATTGTATATAAGGAGGGGTCCGGAATCAAAAGGAGCAAGGGCAGGACGAAAGGAGACAAAGGGAGATGGAAAGAGGAACAACACCGAGGGTCAAGGGTTTGACTCAATGGTGTTTCTCAAAGGAGGAATGAAGGGCCAAGGCCCAAGGAGGAAGGAAGGAGGTTGGGAGTGGGGAATGGCTAGCTGACTGAATAGAAAGGAAGCAGCAGCCCAAATAGGAATGAGGGAGAATAGCGGAATTGAATAGGACAATGCAATAGTTGCAAGGTCCGACATAAGTCCGGAAAGTCCGAACTCGGAAGTTAAACTCCGGAATATTGGCAAAGGCGATTAAATGGAATGAGCTAACCAATACAATGGGTATAAGCAGAGGTGGGGTCAAAGTCCGAGGTCGGAGCTAAGACCGGAGGTTCCGGAAACAGAGATGCAAACAGGATTCCGGAGCAGAGGTCCGGAGTCGGGAGCATAGGTTTTGCATACTCGTCTGGAAGGTGTCGAGGTTGGGGTCGGACCCGGAATGTTCCAGAGTCGGACCGAAGGTGGTGTCCGAGCCGGAGGTGGGATAACCTCTTGGGAGTCGGCAAGGAGAGGGTGACGGAAGGGAAGTAGGGCTCCGGAAGTCGGAGTTCGGAGTTCCGGGAGCCCGGAGCGGAGGTCGGGATTGTATGGATATGACATTCCCATTCTGGCACCCAGATCACAACTGCGAACTGCACTCCTGTGATGGGGCAGTTCAGTTACGTGGAACACCTGATGGATGCAGACGATATCCCATCGACCCCCTCCTTATCCATATGCAAGAGGGCAAACCAAAGCACTGGATGTTCCGATCCTGTTACATTCTTTGTGTAAGGCAATCAATTGTGACCTCATCTCCGAGAGCTAACAATCACTGAACTACAGACTCTGGGTGTGATCCTCTTTGCTGGAAAATTGCCTGAGATGGACAATGCAAAAAATGTCATCAAGTCTTGTTGGGATATTAGCTGCAAAGGTTTACAACATCCACGAGGTTACTCCAGGACTCATTGCCCTCGCTGCCATTTCAGTGAGTATTTGTCGAAGACTCTTTTATTGTTTATGCTAATATATGACACTGTCATAGGCCTGGAGAGTTTTACTTCCCCCTGAGGATCGGCACCAGGATGAAGACCGGTTCCACTTCTGGAGGAAGTGTCTTATAATGGCCATTGGTGCAGAGAAAAAACACACAAAGGGCAGACCAATGCCCTTCCACAAAACAATGTCCCAAATGAACAAATGGTTATTTGGGCAGGCTTCTGGACAAAGTGGGAACGAGAAGTTGGAACAGGTGCTGGTATCGCAAGTGACGGACTTAGGGGCCGAGTCCAACCTCTCATTGGAGCATGAATTCTTTGCTGAGTTTAAGGCAGCAGTGATGATGGAAGAAACAGAATTAGAAACTGAGGTGAGTTTGTGTGGGGTTCCCTTTGGCAACTAAGATGAGATGAACAAACCATAGGCAGGTGGGACCCCAGACCAATTGTCCAACAATGCCAACTCCAACAACGCCAACTCCAATGACACCAACTCCAATGACAGCAACAGCCATGGGACCCTAGCCACAGTGGTCACTGAGAATGCAGCTACATGCCCAGCAGTAGAACCACCCATAGGTTCTACTGCAACCACTGCAGGCACAACCCCAGCCATGCTTGCAGAAAGTGTACCAAGTGGCACTTTGCCACATCAGGAAATTGTCGTGGTCAACTTTGGACACTTCTGATGATCCTGTTGCTTCTAATACCATGAAACTGGCCGAATTGACCAATTTCCCAAAGCATTTTAGTAAAGGTGTCATGTTTCAATTCAGTTCAGAAGTGAACTCAATTGTTTTCAAACCATTTGAAGTGAAACCCTGAGGACCTTTTGCTGATGTGGTTGCTCAAGGCAGGCAGGAGAGAAAGTGCAATACACAGAAAAGCCAGGCCAAGGGGTCTGTTTGCAAGAGTCAACGTGTCAACGACCCCATGGGAGACACCAACATTCCCATTTCTGATATTTCATTGGCACTGCCCACTCAAAATAGTGCCCAAAATGCAAAGGTGAATGGGGACATCAAATAAACGAAATTTTATTTGTAGCTCAGTGCTTCAGTAGTCAGAAAAAAAATAACTAGTTCACAAAGATTCCGTACATCATTGTAACATGCGGTTGCAAGTAAGTTCGTTGACTCCGAGACTTGTTTGGGTCCATCGGAACCAATTGATTCGACGATTGACAGAACGCGTCCAAATCACATCACCACTATCCATGCCTAAAGCCCCAGCTGCTGTTTCCAAGAAGGCCAATGTTGCCTACTCAGAGTCTTGTGCTCATTGTCAAAAGAGGCTGACTCCTCAAAATCTCAAGTGGCACAAAGCTGGTTGTCGTGTCAATCAGACCCGGGATCAAGTGAGGCAATGCATGATGGATGAGGATCGACAGTGTCATATCCATCCCCAGCCATCGACTTCTGATCCCTCCGATTCCTCCAGTCTACTTCCACTCCTTCTTCACTAACCTCGGAGCTCCCGTATTCCGCAATCCCCTCGGTACCCCTCGATGGTCACCACCCCCTCCTTTCAATTTATTACCTATGCCTCCCTAAGTACAGAGCCCCAAAGGCTTCCGGACAGCTCCAACGTCTGCTAGTGCACTCCTGCCTCTGCTGGACAATACACTCGCTTGCCCTGCAAAGCCCACCTTCAGGCCTATCCTGTCACGACCACGCATTCTGACCCAGATGCCGGCCCTTATTCTGTTTCCTTTTGTTTCATTTTGTCACCTGACTCATTCAGTTTCTTACTATATATATATGTATATTACATTATTATAACTTTAGTCTGAATATCGACATGGTTTGTCCCCCCTAACAAGGCAGCCCAAGCCACTTCGAAATGTGGGCACTGAGACAGTAGGTGGGCACAGCGCTCTCTTGGAGTCGCTGAGGCTGAAGCCCAACCCCGGAGCCTTGTCCCCGCCAGTCGTCCCCGTTTGCTGACCCGTACCTAACATATCCCTCCTTTCCGTTTCTGGGTTATCGCCTGCCTTTCCGTTAACCCCATAACCTGACTCGTCGGTAATATTCAATTGGCTAATGTCTAAACCCCGTTAGCTCCGCTCTGCTTGGCTCTGCCATTTGCGGACCCACCCTCGCTGTAACTATATATACTTAACTTGTACATAGGTTGCACTCCAGTAATAAAATCGACTAGAGTTTACCCTCTTCAGTTCTGGTGGCCAGTTAGTAAGTTAGGGCACGGATGTGTTTACTTGGCACAGCGCTCCTGGCATAAGTTGCTGAGGCCGAAGCCCTCCGTCATGGAGACACTCCCTCGTCTCAACCAGGTCTCTGACAGACAGCGTCTTTATGATGCTATAGAAAGATCGAAGGGTTCAGTGGTATGTATACCTTTTTCTTTTTAGGCAGTCACTGGCAGGACTTTGAACTATGACAGCTTCTCTCTTCAGGAATGCATCGCACTCCAGGGACTGGGGATTTATTAGAAGACGTTGAAATCTTTGAGTGTCCCTTGGGTTCATTAGATGCTACAATAGCTATACAGACCGCCGATGCAAGCATGCCTGAATCATCCATGCCCACAGCTGAGGCACACCAAGGTTCGCACTGTGTCCACTTTGACATCCTTATTCATATTCCTTTCCAGACAGTTTTCCTACTCATCCCAACTTGGATGCCATCAAGATCTTTGTTAGAACCCACCCTAAAGCCTGGATGGCCACTTCATTATTATTATCTGCAGCTCCAACACCCGTTATGTCCAACTTTGAAGCATTCCACCCACTCGCCACCAAAGAAGATCTTGAATTCATGGACATCTGCATTAGGAACAACATAAAGAATGAGGTAATCGATTCTCTCCTTCAGCAACATGCGAGGATTCCAAACTCACCAATAACACTAAAAAGTCACCAGGAACTGTTCCAAATACTTGATCGGGCATCCAATGCCTCAACCACTGTAAGCACAATGCTATTACAGTTAACTGTAGTCGTAGCTAATCTTTCATCGAGTTTGAGACAGTCACCGTTGAACATCGACTGCAAACCCTCTATCAGAAAGTCAAAGTGCTTTGTAAATCAATCTTCGACTGGGTCATGGAGCTCCTGTGAGACCCCTTCATCTGTCCATCTGTTCATTGGTACCCAGAGCAACAGTACTCCCAGCATCCTGATGGTTCATGGGTGCGACGCATTGGGGAGCCGTGGACAGGTGATGACTTTTGGGCTGCCTGGGTATTTCCCTTCATAGTGTATTCTAGCTAGCTAATCTGTTCCGATAGGATGCTATCCCCAAAAGTACAAATGGAATCGAAAACTGTCTATTGGGCATCTATATCTACGCTGTAGGAGAAATAACGGTCACACTATGGAAACCCATTATGGAAATATGCCAGATAAATCACAAAACCCCATACGACAAGTAGATATGAGAAAATAGAAGAACCTGAATTTTAACGAAATTTTACGAATTATTATGACTACATACGATAAAATGGAAGAAAGGAAATTAGCAAAAATACTTCAAGCTTAGCATCAACAAGACGGAATTCTCGGTTGAATTTATAGAAAATATTAAACTAAGAATTAGGACAATTGACCAAGATTTGACTATAAAAACAACCAGAGAACCTCCATGGAAACTACTTTCCCACGTCCGCACACGTAGCCGAGGATGGAAGTACCACGGAACAAGGATTCCTCAGAAACTAATGCAAAATTCAAAGTCGTGTTTATAATAGGAAATGTAGATGTCACCCAAACGGACCCAATGAAAGTAATTACAGGGAAAACTACCCATAAACGACGGAGATATGACTGAAACCCCCAGAAAACGAGGACAATGTTTAAAAAGCAAGTGCGAAGAACAACCATTAACGACCAAGATGAGCTTGATAGCCCATTAGAAAGGAAGGGATCTAATCTTAATTCACCCAAACTTTCACAATAAAAGGATCACGCATTAATGAGATATCCAATAATGGGAATAGCGACATCAAAAGTCCGGGCTCAGGGAAAAGACGAAGTTTACGTAGGATCCATAATTAAAACATACAACGAAATTAACACGGAAATTATAAAAAATAGAGAACTATAGTTATGCAAATTTTCAGCCCAAACGGTCCAGCCGTTGTGAAGTTATACCAACGATGGGAATATAGAAATCCGCATCATGTTTAATGACACGTGAGGGTGGCAATGCAAAGGGAACCGGCTGTCGGAACCGAGATCCGCACTTCAGCAGATCGCGAAGACCAATTCCCATCCAAATAAGGAAGAGCCCAGTCAAAACAAAGCACAGAAAGTGCAAAACAACCTTAGATCATGAGGGAAAAATCTGAAATAAATCACGGAAGCCCATATGAAGGATACAAACACCCGCGCATACCATAAATCCCGAACAATTAAACAGAAACAGTGCCCACATCTGAACGACTATGGGAACGATGCACGTGATGTCAGGGACAGCTCCGAAAGCGGCGAGGTCCCGGTGCGAGGGACTCGATGGGACAGGTGTCAGCTATGCGTAGCGACAGTCCCGTTGCGGGGTGAGCGTCCCCGACCACTTAGTCTGAAGTGGGAAGTTGAGAAGAAGGCTGCTTCTTCTGTTCCCACCCCAGGTGCTATTATATACATGCGGTCGGGGTCACGTGGGAGGAGCCATGTCATCCCCGCACACAGCCGCACTCCCCTGGGTATCTCCATGGGAGATCCTGGAGGTGTGCCACTCTGCAAGCAGGAATGCGCACGGCGATCGGGGGAGCGGGGTTAGGTGTGTTAGTAATACATAGAGAAGGGGAAGTCGACCATAGAACGGAAATAGAAAGAAAGAAGGAAAAGGGGGAAGAAGAGACAAAGGGTGATAGCAGGGAAGCGGAGTAGGGTGGCACGGCACGGGGTCAGGTGGGGTGTGCCCTGACACGTGATTACTGAATGTGCGTGCAAACTTTTGCTAACTCGACGGATACCAGGAAATAGAACACAACTTTAGTACCATTGGAAAGGTGGGAATAAATGAAAATTTATGATACCAAGAATGCGAAAACCATTCAGAAATGAATGATACAAGGACATGAAGTTAGAAACCTGAAAATGTGTGGGAAGACAGCTTCAAGAGGTCCAGAGCCCTAAATAAAATACATAAAAATATGATATCTTCGAGGACGACCTACTATAACAACGAACAATACATATGAAGGATTAGGATGTGATAATACAAAGGGGAATCAGGGGAGATGAACGAAATCCACGAAATCCACTAAACTATGACGGACCATGGTGGGAATTTTAGGGAACAATATTCTAATGAAGTGGAGAGCTATAATACATTTGTTTGAGTAATTCTTGACTACTAGCAACTTTTTCTTTCGGTTCTAAACCTGAATAATTCACTCATTTACCAGTTCAAGTCTCATTTTAACTAAATGTCGCTGGATAAAAATGGAATAAATCAGCTGAAGGTCTCAGCGCAGCCATACGCATAGTAATGCGAAGTTTGAATTCAGAATCACTGAGTCATAGCGAATTTAATGGTAAATATGAGGAATTTGAAATAGGAAACTGCGACAAATGCAGCGCAGTCAAGTTCTAATTAACCATTAAAATAGTTTAGGCGAGGAAGGACAATAAGGGTTCTAGGTGCAGTCTGACTGCAGCAGAACTATAGCATGAAAATTTCATTTTTTTTTCAGTTTGAGAAAAATACACTGTAAATAAATCCTGTAAATATGAGGAAGAGCGTGAAAAAGGAAGGCGACCCAAGGAGTATAAAAGGGAGACCCTTTCTGCGACTTTTTGCCCCCCTCAGAGAAGAAAATAGAGTATTATTTTTCTCAAGCATTTCTGGTTGTCACTCCAGCGCAAAAAAGTGATATACAGTTAAGATTGCCACTGTAGTAAAAGGCAGCAATTAAGGAGAGAAATATTAAGTAGATATTTCAACAGGAGAGCTGGTTAACACTCCAGATTTCAAAGTGTAAACACAAAACAGTTATTTTGCTACTGTTAAAACAAGCAATAAAATAAGACAAAAATAAAACAAACTCAAGGGATACTCCAGACACAATCTAAATCCATTAACTGAGTAGAATCTTTGAAACTTAACCAAGTAGAAGATTTAATTCAAGTTAAAATCCAAATTAAACAACTCTACACAGAATTACACCCAGACAAATTAAGAAATTACAATAGAGGAACAGCTCCACAGGGCTTGGTTTATCTGTAAGTCAATTCTCAGAAACTTTTAGACCAACCCATAAAATAGAATTAGCCAAAACACTCGGATTGGTACTATAATTACAACAAATATTACTAGTACACTTCCCCATCCTAACTAAAGAACCAGGGAACAGCTTGGTGGTGGTCTCGTTTGAACCTCCCAACTGACCTTCCTTCATTCTCTCCTTCAATGCTGACAAATCAAAACTCTCCTCTTTCGGCTCTGTCAACAGTTACCCCGTTATTGCACAACTGGCCAATCTGCCCTGATCTATGAGAAATTCCCGAGGAGTTGGTGGTGGATGCTTGGTTGGGTGGTTGCCAGATGTAAGTGCTATTAAGCCTAATATTTGTATCATTGTAATCAGCTCCATCCAAACGGATCCGAAAGCCATGACAGCCATTGGGCTGAATTCCAAGCACAAATTTACCAACAAGCCATGTCTGAGATCCTCCGGTCACTATGTCGGCCAGGCGCATATGGACAAAACATAGTGTGTGCAGATGGGGTGACGAGACACATTTTCCCTTTCATATTTGGACTCATTGCAGACAATCAAGAAATGTGAGTATGTTATATCATGAATAATCCTGCTGATATATTGTCAGGGACAGCTCCGAAAGCGGCGAGGTCCCAGCGCGAGGGGCTCGATGGGACAGGTGTCGGCTATGCGTAGCGGCAGTCCCGTCGCAGGGCGAGCGTCCCCGACCACTTAGGCTGAAGTGGGAAGTTGAGTTATCATTAAAAGGGAAAAGCTATGGTACTTACCTGAAGTGGGAAGTTGAGAAGAAGGCTGCTTCTTCTGTTCCCACCCCAGGCACTATTATATACATGCGGTTAGGGTCACGTGGGAGAAGCCACATCATCTCCGCACACAGCCGCACCTCCCCGGGTGTCTCCGCGGGAGATCCCGGAGGTGGCTGCTCAGTATGCAGGAGTGTGCGCAGCGCATGCGGCGATCAGGGGAGCGGGGTTAGGTACATAGTGGTACATGGAGAAAAGGGAAATCGACCGTAGAATAGAAATAGAGGAGAAGGGGAAAGTGAGGAAGGAGGGACGGGGGATGATAGCAGGGAAAGCGGAGTAGGGCGGTACGGCGCGGGGTGCGGCACAGGGTCAGGCAGGTGTGCCCTGACATATATTTATGACAGATGGAGCATGTTAGCAATGCGGGGCGGTCATTCAATAATGCCATGCCCTATCTGTCTTATACCCCGGGACATGTTAAGTCGGCTCGATCTGGTGTTTGAGAGATGCACAAAGGTTCAATCGTGCAATGTCATTAATGTGGCAGCAACTATGGCAAGTAAGGGTGGGGCTGAGGAACTCCTAAAGTCACAGGGACTCTGATCACATGAGGTAAGCTTTGCACTCTCAGTGGTAGGCTCAACTCATGGCCCAAAGAGCGTGTTTTCAACAGTGCCTAACTGTGACCCCCATTGGGCTGTTACATTTGATGTTTTACATACATGGCTCAAGGGCATCTGGGGGGATCATATGTTTGCGATGATCAGAGGTGTTGTCCCTCTCCTTGGAAGGGACATTGTTGGATGATTTGAGACAATGTAAGTTCAAATATGTCAGGGACCGGTCCAGGGTCGAGAGCGTCCGGGTATATCGCCCGGCGCTGAGGGCCCGGTGGGGTGTGAAGCAGGCGTGTACGGCAACGGGTCCGGCGCAGGCAGATGTCCCTGAAGTGGGAATGGTGTTAATTATCATTAGAAGGAAAACTAAGCTACTTACCTGAAGTGGGAATGGTGAGAAGAAGACTGCTTCTCTGGTTCCCACCCCAGGTGTGTTTATATACATGGTGCTCAGGTCACATGAGAGTTGCCACGTCATCCCCATGCACAGCCCCAGCCACCCGGGTATTCCCATGGGGGATCCCAAAGGGATCCGCTGCAGGCGTTGAAGGAGAGAACGAAGGAAGGTCAGTTGGGAGGTTCAAACGAGACCACCACCAAGCTGTTCCCTGGTTCTTTAGTTAGGATGGGGAAGTGTACTAGTGTTATTTATTGTAAATAAAGTACCAATCCGAGTGTTTTGGCTAATTCTATTTTTATGGGTTAGTTTTAAAGTTCCTGGGAATTGACTTACAGATAAACCGAGCCCTGCGGAGCTGTTTCTTTATTGAAATTTATTAATTTGTCTAGGTGTAATTCTGTGTAGCGTTGTTTAATTTGGATTTAAACTTGAATTTAATCTTCTACTTGGTGAAGTTTCAAAGATTCTATTCAGTTAATGAATTTGGATGGTGTCTGGAGTGTCCCTTGAGTTCGTTTTATTTTTGTCTTTATTTTATCGCTTGTTTTAACAGTAGCAAAATAACTGTTTTGTGTTTACACTTTGAAATCTGGAGTGTTAACCAGCTCTCCTGTTGAAATATCTACTTAATATTTCTCTCCTTAATTGCTGCCTTTTACTACAGTGGCAATCTTAACTGTATATCACTTTTTCGCACTGGAGTGACAACCAGAAATGCTTGAGAAAAATAATACTCTATTTTCTTACTTCTCTAAGGGGGGCGAAAAGTCGCAGAAAGGGTCTCCCTTTTATACTCCTTGGGTCGCCTTCCTTTTTCACGCTCTACCTTCTATTTACAGGATTTATTTACAGTGTATTTTTCTCAAACTGAATAAAAAGTGAAATTTTCACGCTATAGTTCCACTGCGCTTTGCTGCGCTGAACTGCGGCTCTACTGCGGTCAGACTGCGCCTGGAATCCTTATTGTCCTTCCTCGCCTAAGCTATTTTAATGGTTAATTAGAATTTGTCTGCGCCGCATTTGCTGCAGTTCCCTATTTCAAATTCCCCATATTTCCCATTAAGTTCGCTATGACTCGGTCATACTGAATTCAAACCTCGCATTACTATGCGTGCAACTGTGCTGAGACCTTCAGCTGATTTATTCCAATTTTATTTAGTGACATTTAGTTAAAATGAGACTGAAATGATAAATGAGTGAATTGTTCAGGTTTAAAACTGAAAGAAAAAGTTGCTAGTAATCAAGAATTACTCAAACGAATGTGTTATAGCTCTCTACTTCATTAGAACATCGTTCCCTAAAATTCCCACCATGGTCCGTCGTAGTTTAGTAGTTTTTCGTGAATTTCGTTCATATTCCCTGATTCCCCTTTGTATTATCACATCCTAATCCTCCATATGTATTGTTCGTTGTTATAGTAGGTCGTCCTCGAAGATATCATATTTTTATGTATTTTATTTAGGGCTCTAGACCTCTTGAAGCTGTCTTCCCGCGTGTTTTCAGGTTTCTAACTTCATGTCCTTGTATCTCATTCATTTCTGGATGTTTTCTCACGTTCTTGGTATCATAAATTTTCATTTATTCCCACCTTTCCAATGGTACTAAGGTTGTGTCCTATTTCCCTGTATTCGTTGAGTTAGCAAAGTTTCGCGCGCACATTCGGTAATCACGTGTGTCGTTCCCATAGTTGTTCGTATGCGGGAGCCGTTTTCGTTTAGTTGTTCGGGATTTATGATATGCGCGGGTGTTTATTTCTTTCATATGGGCTTCTGTGATTTATTTCAGATTTTTCCCTCATGATCTAAGGTTGTTTTGCACTTTTCGTGCTTTGTTTTGACCGGGCTCTTCCTTATTTGGACGGAAATTGGTCTTCGCGATCTGCCGAAGTGCGGATCTCGGTTCCGACGGCCGGTTCCCTGCGCATCGCCACCCTCACGTGTCATTACACATGATGCGGATTCCTATATTCCCATCATGGGTATAACTTCACAACGGCTGGACCGTTTGGGCTGAGAATTTGCATAACTATAGTTTCCTATTTTTCATAATTTCCGTGTAAATTTCGTTGTATGTTTTAATTATGGATCCTACGCAATCATCGTCTTGTCCCTGAGCTCGGACTTTTGATGTCGCTATTCCCGTTATTGGATTTCTCATTAACGCATGATCCTTTTATTATGGAAATTTGGGAGGATTAAGAGTAGATCCCTTCCTTTCTAATGGGCTATCAAGCTTGTCTCGGTCGTTACTAGTTAATCTTCGCGCTTGCTTTTTAGACATTGTCCTCGTTTTGCAGGAGTTTTAGTCATATCTCCGTCATTTATGGGTAGTTTCCCCTGTAATTACTCTCATTGGTTCCGTTTGGGTGACATCTACATTTCCTATTATAAACACGACTTTGACTTTTGCATTAGTTCCTGAGGAATCTTTGTTCCGTGGTACTTCCATCCTTGCTACGTGTGCGGACGTGGGAAAGTAGTTTCCGTGGAGGTTCTCTGATTATTTTTATAGTCAAATCTTGGTTGATTGTCCTAATTCTTGGTTTAATATTTGCTATAAATTCCCCCGAGAATTCCGTCTCGTTGATGGTAAGCTTGAAGTATTTTTGTTATTTTTCTTTCTTTCGATTTATCGTGTATAGTCATAATAATTCGTAAAAATTCGTAAAATTCGTTAAAATTCAGGTCCTTCTATGTTCTCATATCTACTTGTCGTATGAGGTTTTGTGATTTATCTGGCATATTTCCATAATGGGTTTCCATAGTGTGGCCGTTATTTCCCCTACAGTGTGCATGCTGGGCATACCTGGGGGTCGTCCAGAGCGTCTGGGGCTGGGTGGGTCATGCATGGGTCGCGGGCGGGTTAGTAGTACATCGATCAAGGGAAGTCATCCATGTAAATAGAAATAGGAAGAATAGAGAATGAGACAGAGAAGAAATAAGAAGAGGGGGAAGTGGAGGGAGGAGGAGACAGGAAGGGGAAGAAGGGGGTACCGCATCAGCAAAAGTCCGTTATGCTCCGGAGCATCAGGAGTGGCTGGAGCATGTGGGAGACAAAACAGCAGATTGGGCACTCCTGGAGCCAATAGTGTTCTCCTGGGAGGGGGTTCAGGAGCAGCTGGGAGTGGTGAGGAGTATGCAATGTGCCAGGAGCAGTGGGAGGAAAATTTTGGTCTCTAAAAGTTGAAAAAAAAAATTTAGGGAAAAAAATCAAAAAAAAATCAGGAACTATAGTGCCTTTAAAGTGCTTTCAGGACATATAATTATTTGCAAAATTGAGGAAGAAATGATGGAGAAAAATGGAAAATACTTTTGGAGACCCGAGAAGTAATGAGAACTGAATTGATGGGAAAGTCTGAAAATTGAATAGGAAAGTGAGGGGAAGCCTTGTAGCATTGTTATTTTCTGCTGTTCTGATTTTTCCTGATTGTTCTTGGTCTCACTCCCAGCTGCTCCTGGACCCTCCCAGGAGCTTTCAGGAGCTTCCAGGAGTATTGAGCAGCTGGGAATGAGACCAAGAAGAATCGGGAAAAATCACAACAGCAGAAAATAACAATGCTACAAGGCTTCCCCTCACTTTCCTATTCAATTTTCAGACTTTCCCATCAATTCAGTTCTCATTATTTCTCAGGTCTCCGAAAGTATTTTCCATTTTTCTCCATCATTTCTTCCTCAATTTCGCAAATAATTATATATCCTGAAAGCCCTTCAAAGGCACTACAGTTCCTGAATTTTTTTTTGATTTTTTCCCTAATTATTTTTTCAACTTTTTAGAAGTCCCTATTTTTCGAATTTTCCTCATTTCCCTCTATATTCCCCTCTTATTCTCCCCCTCATTCTCCCCCTCATTTCCCCCCTCATTTCCCCCCTCATTCTCCCCCATTTCCCCCTCCTCCATATTCTGCAAGTCCGAAAGTGATTAAGTTGCCAGATTAATCATATATCAGGCCATAAATTTTGACTGTGTATTGGTGAGTCTCAGTGTCCTTGATGTATAGTATAGTGTTTGATCTAAATGTTAAGTAGTGTCTTGTTGTGTTAGTCTTGTGGTAGGAGGTATTCATGGGGAGTCTTCCCTCTTTTTTTCCTTTTCATTTTCAAATGCTCCAGGAGCTCCCAGAAGCTTCTCACCCCTATACATTTTGAAGCATTAAATTGTATTTACTGGATATGTTTGTGCACAAAGCAATGCTCCATGCCCTCCTGGGAGTGCCCTGGAGTACCTGACCAACTCCGGAGGAAATGAGCTGTTCCTGGACCGGCCAATCTCCTCCTGATTCTCCCAGTGCTCCCCATACTCCGGAGCACTCAGGAGCATAACAATTTTTTGCTGATGCGGGTGGGGTGGAGCTGGGTGGAGCCAGGTGAGGCGGGTGTGCCCTGACAAAATATTCCCAAGACTCATTCCATCTCCTGATATCTAGTGCCCTGATAGGTTATCCTCACTCCCATGATGGAAGGGCCTCAAATCATTCCCATCAGGCATCCTCAGCCAGAGTTTCAATGATGGAACCATGAAGGACCATGTACTCCAGGTAAGGAATTAATTTCAATATTGTGTTCGTATTTGCTTATTATGCCCCAGGCCATCTTGCATGCAATGCATGCATTGAATCCCAACCTAATACACTTAATACACTGTGTACGGAACATGGCAGTAATCAACATCTTGTTCCAATGTGAGATCCTGGATGATGATAGAATTTTGCGTGGACACACGGCCCTTCAAGAGCTTCAACAATTGACTCAGGTATGATTTCTGTCATTGTGCCGATTTACTCATTCAACATCTCTCACAAAAGGGAGAACTTGTGCCTGCAACACTTATTGCTCGATCAGAGGACCTCCGAGAGAAGATGCGAAGCAAGCAGGCATCCAATGGACACAAGTCCTGGTCATTCTCCAAATTCCACATCCTACTTCATCACAGTTTCTCATCCTTCACAGCCAAAGGAGTGCCTGCAAACTCAAGCACGAAACCAAATGAAAAGGAGCACAAATTTTTTCGCGATACATTTCATGCAGGCAATTTCAAGAACACCGCCAAGCGAGTTCATACCTACCACCTTAATCTGTCCCAGTAATAACATTAGAAATAGGTTACCATCCAGACACAGCAAGTCCAAATCCTGGACCTTATTCGTCAAGACATCGAACATTCCACCACCAGCACCAGTGACCCATCCACTGTGGCACTGGAAGGACCCATCAATTCTGCAAGTGAAGCACAAAGCCCCAGTGCCAATAGACCCAGAACTTTGAAAGCTGTTGCATGCTCAATTTTCTTTATTGAGCAATCTCACTTGGACGAACCCGTGTATCTTGGCTTGACTCTGAAGTTCTGAACTTTCCTTCATACTAACTATGGACTGCATAATATTGATGGATCCAAGGCAAATTGGGTACGTTGACTTGCGATAATATATGCATCATCATTTTAACTTCTCTTCTGGGTTTAGGTGATTCTATGACACTACTACAAGATCCGGTATCGATCTTTCGATGATGGAAGTTGGGGTGAAGAATTCATATGGACAAACAAGACTTTCCATGGTCATCACAGGGATGATGCTGTAGTGATGGGGGACCTGTCCAGCAGTGTGAAGTTTGCCCATGTCAGAGACTGTCAGGGCACACACCCTGACTAGCCCGGACCCGGACCCGCATCCGGACCTGCACCTGGACCCACATGTGCGCCTCCGCCCTGCACACTCCGTGCGCCGCATGCTCCGGGCCCGGTTCCTACCCTTCATGTGACTTCTGGGTATCCCCGGAAGTTTTCGCCATATTGGGGCCACTGTGGGAATGTGAGAAGTTAACCTTCTTCTCACTTTCTTACCCACAGTAGGCAAGTGTAGCCTACTTTCTATTTATCTATACACTTTCTTACCCACAGTAGGTTATGCCTTAGGATAGGCTATTTACACACAGGGCTGTGGGCTATAGAGAGAAGGGTCATGGGGACCTGGGGTCCATCCCCTGACAGAGACCTGATCGAGACAAAGGAGTGTCTCCATGGCAGAGGGCTTTGGCCTCAGCGACTTGTGCCAGGAGCGCTGTGCCAAGTAACACGTCTGTGCCCTAACTTACTAAACTGGCAACCAGAACTGAAGAGGGTAAACTCTAGTCAATTTTATTACTGAAGTGTAACCTATGTACAAGTTGAGTATATATATAGTTACAGCGAGGGTGGGTCCGCAAATGGCAGAGCCAAGCGGAGCGGAGCTAATAGGGTTAGACATTAGCCGATTGAATATTACCGACAAGTTGGGTTACGGGGTTAACGGAAAGGCAGGCGATAACCCAGAAACGGAAAGGAGGGATAGGCCCAAAGGTGGGCGTTGCAGGGCAAGCAAGTGTATTGTCCAGCGGAGGCGGGAGTGCGCTAGCGGATGTCAGAGCTGTCCGGAATCCTTTGGGGCTCCGTACTTAGGGAGGTGTAGGTAATAAATTGAAAGGAAGGGGTGGTGACCATCGAGGGGTACCGAGAGAATTGCAGAATACAGGAGCTCTGTCAGGGCACAACCCCTGACCCCACACACCCTCAGGTACCCTTCCCCCATTTTCTCCTATTTTTCCCTTCACTGTTCCACAATCCCGCATGCATGCAGACCGTGGGAACATTCTGGGCGAGCTGCTTGCCCAGAATCTTCCCACGGGGGGTGCCAATTATGGAAAGTCGGCAAAGAGCCGAAAACTGTATAGTTCCCGGCTCCCATTTGTAGCAGCTTCACAGGAGGTTGAGAAGGTTACCCTTCTTCTCAACTCATTTCCTGTGAAGGCTGGGGCTAGCCCCCTCAGTGAGTTTGAAGACCTTGGACTGGGACTAGATACCCCAGCGACTTGGAGGATCCCCTTGGGCCCATCACGGAACGAGGGCTGGGCCCTGACAAGCTCCGAGGTTAGTGAGGAAGGAGCGGAAGTAGACCGGAGGGATCGGAGGGATCAGAAGTCGATGGCTGGGGATGGATATGACAGCCCAAGTCCATGCACTGCTTGAGATATCTGCGGGATTGTCCCAGGATCTCATTGCACTAGTGTCCGACTTCCACATGGCCTCACTCTCTGAGTATATGGCACAAGACCGAGCCACTGGATTCTTGCTATTCCAACTCGACAACGCCAAAAATTCTCACTTTGTGCCAGTGATGGACTTCACTCAGCAGGCATTTTTGGCCCCTACATCTGACAGACAGCGGCCTCGCCATTACTTACTTAACGATGTAATCGATACAGACATGTTTTTTCGCTTGAAAGGTTGTCATCCCTCAGCATGTAATATTGCGGGACCCTCAGACAACTAATATGACGTGTATCACAATAATTTATATGTGGCATCCTCAGCAGCCCGTAAGAACTATGGTATTATACCCATATACAGTGTGTTCGAGTATTTTCTCATGAAGCATTGTAATGGGCCACTAAAGCATTGTAACGCATTGAGAGCTTCTTAACACGTTAAAACAAAATCCCGTGTTTTGCGACATGCGGTCACGTTAGCACGTGACAGAGCGGCATATCCCACTACATTACATCTGTACATGAGGGGCCTCGACGATGGATGTCAGTCGAGGGGGAGTTCTGCTACCACAGCGAACACCCAGCACGGGCCTAAACCTTCACACGGTGCCCCTGTTTAAAACTAATTAGGCCTGTAACATCTGAAGGGAGGATGACGTGGCCACCGTGGTAATGCCAATCAACTGCAACCCCGTAAGCCCAGAGCCGCACTGGCTGGAGAGATGCAAGAGCATGGGTGCATGTCCCGCCATCAAGCCAACCCTTCCTTTTTCTTCTCACCACTACCTTTTTGGGATGACGAGCGTGATAGTGGCAACGCCAATGGTGACCTCCATAAGCCCAGACGGGACTGGCCAGAGGACTGTGAGTTCAAGTCCCACCGTCACCCCAACCCTTCCTTCTTTTTCTCTTCTCCACTACCTTTTGGGATGGTGAGGTGCAATAGTGGTAGCGCCAATGGTAGCCTCCATAAGTCCATGGGCAGGCCGGAGGAGTGCAGGTTCAAGTCCTGCCATCACCCCAACACCCTTCCAATTCATCTTTCTCTCCACTACTTCTTCATGATGAGGCGCGATAGTGGTAGCGCCAACGATAGCCCCATATGCCGACAAAAAGTTGACTGCAAGGAATGCAGGTTCAAGTCCTGCCGTTGTAGGCAGGATAATCGCCCACAGGCAGAGCCGGCTCGGATACCCGATTTCACGACTATAAAACCACTTCCATTCACACAACAACCCGATACAAATTCGACATCTAAAAATAGTCCTAATTCTTACGATTCTGACGGTACCAAGAACATCCCAAACGGTGGAGATTTGACGGAGTTCTATGTTGGGCAAGTTAGGCACGGGCATGTGTGAGTGTGGGAATCTCAAGCGGCAACCCAGAATTCCTGCCTCACTCGTTCCCACGGCGTCTAATAAATTGGTAAAAATGCTCATTGGCTGCGTGAGAGTTATCTCCGGCTTCATTTCCAATTTTGGCCTTTAATTCCGCAAATCTGTTGAGATATCGCTTATTTTCTGATATTTTCATATTTTTGCATCATTTCAGATATTGATCAATATTCTTTTATTGTTACTGTTACTTTTTTTATTATTTCGCCTAATAAGGTACCCAGGTACCATATGGTGCCAATATTTGCCATCTATTCTTTCTAAAAATAATTATTAGATATAATCCTGTACATACCGGATTTTGAAAAGAAGTTCTCCCCTCCCCCAAATTCTCTAAGGTGCTAGGACGCGCTAGAGTGGGTGTGAGTGAGTGGAATTCCAACAGTAGGAATAAGGGCAGTGATCTAGCTCACAACAAGTGAGTAGTGGACACTGAGCCCGGACCTTGCAGAAATCCCGGAGAACCCACACGGAGTTTAAGGATCGAGAGCGTAGCGAAGTTTAGCCAAGAAGTAGGAGTTTTGGAGAGTTTGGCCCCACAAGCTTAGTTGGCATAGAGAGCTGCTAGCCCTCTTTCACCGTCACCCCAACACTTTCATTTCTCTCCACTACCCCTTCTACCAAAGGCCTATCTGCCACATGCCTTTATTCAACAAGCATGAGCAAGATGCCACCAACACCCATCACCTTTTGCTGCCACTGGAACATTCACCAGCCTACCGTGACATAAACCCGTGAAAGCACCCTCCAACTCACCCACCCGCAAGAACCGCGCACTCAAACATTGACTTAATCATAGGCACACAGCAGCAAAACATGCAACCCCAACACTGGGGGTCGTGTGTCCTTTTCTCTATCCAACCTCTTTCCACCTCCATTCTCCCTCACCCATTGTTCAATCTCAGTGCAGGGGTTGTAAGAAACCACCTCCACCTAATGCAGGCATTTAGTGTAATGGTAACACACTCTTGGTACCTATGCAGGGTTCTGCGGTTCAACTCCCAGAATGTCCATATTTTAGCATTTAGGTTCCCAAGACCATGTGTACAAATTCCAACAGGGGTCGCATGCCCCTTTATGTGTTATTGCTTCATTCTCCTTCACACCATTGATTACTCGATGTCTCATACTTCCTAGGTCAAACAAATTCCTTTCTTCACATCTTATGTTCTCCAAACTTTTTTCACCCGAGTCACTATAGTACGGCATATGCCGATAGGCACGGTTACGTACTCTAAAATGAATCCATCCATCCATCCATCTGTACATGAGGGGACTTTCACAACGTGGAGTGCCGTCGGGTTAGTAGGGTCGGGGTGACGGTGTCCTCTGGGTCTGGTTTCGGGTTGATTTGGTTCGTCTGTGGATGGGGTTACTCCCCGGGCTCAGTGCTGTCACGATGGGTGGCTTTCTTGAAAGTTTCGGTCGATGGGAACCGAGGTACGATCGGGTGTAAGTCTGGGTCTCTTGTCGATGGCGTGTGACTTCTTTAGGTACTTTATTGCAGCATGGAGTGACAGTGTGTTGGGGATGGCTTATGTAAGCGCTGACGAAGTGAATGCTTGAGCCCCACTGGTGTGGTTGTAAAACGATGATTCCGACCTCCCACACGAAAGAGTGAATCGGAACAAGGGAGTAAAAATGACACCAGAGAGTGTCGATAATTTTAAGAGCATCGTTTCTTTGGTCATCTTCTTATTTGCCAGTGAGTTCCGAGCAGATAGCTCTGCCCCTACTTTACTCAGCACAAAACATCTCTCAAGACGTCCTCGTGGTGATTCCGTTCGCAATCCGATGTACCCTTCCCGCCTTCATTGCACGTCCTCTGGAGACATTCCTCACCAAGTCACGCATAATACCGGGAAAACCATCCGCTGCGAATGAGCACCGTACAGCTTCTGCCTTGCTCGAATTCACCATTCCTATCGATCATTCAACTGCACCATTGTTGGCGGTCCTTATTCTGCTTTCGACTGGATCCATAACGGGCCGGGAAGTCAGAGATGGCGTGTTGGGATCTGATGGGTATGTTTAATGTACACCTACCAAGTTCCTCGTTTTTCAATTCTGATCCTGACCCTCTTCAAGAGTTAAACCTATTGACGTCATGGCACTCTTCATCTCGCTCGTACGTGAGAAATTCAAGTCGCGAACATGTCACTGGGCAAATTCATAAATGATGTCATCAGGCTTACATATCAATATCTCTGGATTCCACTGGCCTACTCCGTTTCTTAGCATTTTGGGTACTGAAGAAAGGTGGTTCCAAAGGTAAAACAAGTACATTATTAATGCTCCACTATGCTCATCCGCTACTGTGGAGGTCGCTTACTTTACCTCTTGCTATACATCTTTTTCTTTACCTCGGGAGTCGTGGTTGGGAATGTCAGTTTTTGATTCTCCTTCAATTCAGCATTCATAAAAGCCTTTTCCCCATTAGGATCCCGTCATCTTATCAGGAACAGCATTTCTGGCTTACATGACACGTACGGCCGGAATCGATGATCCCACTGCCTGGATTTACTCCCAATTTGCAATCGTGAACATCTGTGCGTGTTGTTCACACTTCCACGACGTTCTCTGAAGCCTAAATCCTCTCGTTCTGCAGCCTCAGCAGTGCTTGTATCCTCCAACCCAACAAACCTCGTTCTTTCAGGTGCTTTCGGTATTTCCTTCATCATCTACACAGCGAACGTTATCGTTCCAGTGTTCCTAACCGCCGCACTATTATTTCCTTGTCTCTTGGCATTTTTCATCAAGTTCCCCGACTATTCATCCATGAGAAAGGATAGGGATTCGAGAACCCCGGCATCTTTGCTCCCAAAATCTATCCACATTGATACGTTCATAAGTAGCACGTCTATATCGGGAGTTTCGGGGGCAACGAACAACATCGATCCTTCTCGTATGCTACTTATCGATCCTGGTGGAGCTTTTTTTGGGCTCCTCACTCTTGGAGTTACTCTTGTGGCTCTCTTGGCAACCAGCGCTGCTCATGTTGGAGTAGGAGTCTACGCGATCACTGTGCCAGCCGCCGTTCTCATGTTCCTCCGGGATGTGCTGCACGATTGGCGATCTAGTAGACCAGCTCAGGCCAAGGCTGGCGTCGGGACGATAGGAGACGAAGCTCACAGCGTGGATGGACATAGGCCTGGCAACCACGAATCAGTCGAGATGGATGCCCTTGACCGACCTCAGGCGCCTGCGGTGGCAATTGGAACCATCTTTTCGGAAAACCCTCAAAAGTTCCATCCATCCTTTGCGAGCACCTCATCCTTGCCACATACAGTTCCGGCTGAGCAAACTCTCACAGGGCTTGACGAAGCAGCAGTACTCACTTCTTCCGAACCCATCGATGAACCTCCATCTTCCGTGACTCTGGATAACAACAAAAACAACGAACTAGACCGTGGGCTTATCTCGTACCCTCCAGCAACGACGGCTTTGGACACTTCGAACAAGAACAAGAATCGCCCCAGGTTATTCCCTAGATCCACATCGCACCCAACCGTTCCTTCAACGTTAGAAGTCGAAGCGGCACAAAAACCACACTATACACTCATCACCTTCTTTCGCTCAGCAACATCAAAAATCTCCCGCGATTTTCCAACACCGGTAACGACGATCGCCCGTCTCCCACTCTCTTTACTTCCCTTCGCATTCTCGATGTTCATCCTCGTACAAGGTCTCGCATCCAACGGTTGGGTTGGAGTTCTCGTTGAATGGTGGGAAACGTGGGTACGTAAAACTGGAACCGTGGGCGCTGTAGGTGGTATGGGATTCATCGGAGTCATCGCTTGTAATGTGCGTCCGTGTGTATCAAATCAAGAAAGCGATGGATATCGCTAAAAAAAAATTGGGATATAGGTTGCGGGAACTAACATTGGAGCCACTATACTTCTCGCTCGTGTTCTTCAGCAATGGGACTCGACGTACACACCCTCCCTCCGGACCCGTGACGCAGCTGTACGTTCGGCTAGACTCTTCCCCCCATCCCCATCTCTCATCATACGCTAATTAATGATCACCCCCACCCCCCCCCCCCCTACCAGATATATGCCCTAGCTCTATCCTCCAACTACGGCGCCTTCTCACTATCCTTCTCCGCCTCGCTCGCAGGACTTCTCTGGCGCTCGATCCTCGCTCAGAAACACATTCATCTCAAACAGAAATATTTCGCTAGGATAAACGCTCCTATTGTTGCTTGCGCCATGATTATTGGGTGTTCGGTTCTACTGGCCCAAGTTTACATCATGAAAAAGGAGGATTAGACTATTTCGCTCGTTGTATCACCAAAAAATAAATAACTGAACATCCCTTACGGGACGATACTTGAATTAGAATTTGTTATGAACTACGTCTTGTGTATGTTGCCACTTCCGGAAGACTCAGCACGCAAGTCTTTACTTGGACTTTGGTACATCTAATCCCCCTGGGTTCGACGGATGGGTCCAACATACCTCCCCAGTTCGACAACACTACATCACTGGTTGTGACAAGTTCATATGCCGCAGCGGAGTCAGGGTCTCGGCTAAGCGAGCCTTTGAGCGAGAATCATCACCAGTCGTGTTGTATATTGATCCAGTCAAGGGTGGCAGAGATAGTGCAAATCGACAAACGATACAGTGGCAGATGAACAGAATGGTGAGATCTGGACACACAGCTGGTGATGTGTCTAAACGGTGTACAGTGTCATTGTTCTAAGATGTTGGACCGGGATGTGATGAATGTGACAATGGTAAAGCGAAATTATGGAAGAGGGATCAGAGTAAGTCACGATTGGAATAAAATGAAGAAAGCGGGGCATGCAAGAGGAAGCGAAACCAAGGAAGAAAAAAAAAAACAAGAATCTATGAAATGTCTAGGGAGACAGGTCTAAAACGAATTACGAATGTCACAGTCTAATGTTGATTGAGGCAGGGGAAAAAATGAAATTAGTTTGTCTAGGCTATAGAGTCCCGTGAAGGACAGGACTCGTCCGAAAGATGGGGAATGAGGAAATTGAAGGAATGACGTGTGCTATGAACATGCTTCGTTAATATGACTGTTCCAGTGGGATCACTGGCCAATCCGATAGTGATACTAGGCACCGGATGATACGGCCACCAAGAGGTTCCTCAGCGACGCAGAGAATCCGAGAGACTTTGGAGCCGGGAGGTTACGAACAGAACTTTTCTCTTGCTTCGAAAACCCAGAAGGTGAGTGGGCACACCCCGCGCGAGAATGAAGAACACTTTGGCGAAGTGCTGATGTACTCGCAGGAGCCGCGAGTCCATTTGATGAAGCAGATTTGTGGCTGAACAACCTCCCACTTACGCGACGGGGATGATGTTGAAGTTGGGGTGTGGAGCCTGCCACGGGAGTTACAACAGGTGGGCAAGGAGTATGATTTCGATGGGAAAATACAGACAGCCGATTAGAAGGAATGGTTGTGATGGTGCTGGAAGATGAAGCGAAGGAAGGCTGACTAGGGCGGGGACAGTCGGAAGAGAGGAAGCCATCCGTATTCTTGTTGTTTGAGCCCTTGGGGTCAAGAGTGGTCGCGGTGTCTGAGCGGCGACGACCCATGCCAAAGCGGAGCTTCTTTTGATTCGGGACGGCGGGCCGAGCAGCGGGTTGTAACTGAGGTACGGGTCGCATACCTAGTTCCCCGTACCTTTCTTTCTGACCCACGATCGTACCAATCCCAGCAAGTCCAGCCATTTGATCAGAAAGTTCTTCCATAGTTTTCTCTAAAGAGGCTATCTGTTCCTCAATGCGAAGCGAAGGTTCCACCAAAACAACATCAGGATAGTCGTCCTCCTCATCAGACGAGGAAGCAGCTGAAGACGAAGATGTACCAGCATCCTCAGTTAGGGAACTGGCCGATGAAGATAGGGAGGACGAGACAGAGTCAGTGGACGGCCCACGAGAAAGAACATTGCCCAGCACTGATGCAGTCATATACACATTAGTGTAAGATGGAGGTTCATCGACGATCCTTGCGGCAGATGACCCAGAGCCAGCGCGAGAAGATGATGATGATGTGGAAATTGAAGTTGAAACGGAAGTCTCGAGCGGTACTTGATAGGACCGAGGAGGCTTTGCTTTCGACACAGAGATTGGCTCGGGGAGCGGAACGCTGACGTCGGAACCATTCTTCTCCATTCGCTGACGCACACCTCTTGTGACACGTTCCATTGCCTTCTCGCGGGTCTCCCTATCTCGTGCCTTTTCTTCAGCCGCAAGCTTAGCAGAAAGAGCATTGACCGCAGCGACATTCTCTGGGGAAAGTTTTTTCCGAGCCTGAAGGGCGCGATGGAACCCGGAAGTACTTTCCACGGCGTCCTGGTGGACTTCAAGGAGCGGAGCCCAATCCATTAGTGCCTCCCTTTCAGTGAAGCTGAGTTTGAAGTCGAGGAGGAAAAGCATCTGCTTCTCCATCAGGTTGATCTCGCGGAGATCGAACAGATTATTGGCGCAAAACATCCAGTGGATGTTCTTCGGAGCACAGTCATTCAGATACTTTGCGGCAACAATAAGGGATGCTATGAACAAACGATGAGGAGTTCCCGGAGCAGCTGAAATAATATTCTCAGTCATTTAAACGAGTGCAAGCTTGAGAGGAAAATGACGTACCAGAGGCCAATGTGGGCATCCTGGCGCGAAGTCTGTTGAGATATATGACAACGCAAAGGAGTGTAGCCGTGTAAACATTGGATCGAGTGCAAACGTGCGTTATAAAATCCTCCAAATCGGGGATCTCCGGGCTTCCAGGAGGCTCAGGAGTCGGCAAGGAGTAGTCACCGTCACAGACGATTGACTCGGAGATCCACGCTATGTACGAGATCATCTCATACGTGACAGGGAGAGAAACCAATCGGAGGAGCCGGATGTTGTGGCAGTCCTGAGGCATCAAAGACGAAGGCAGGTTACGCACGGGATAGTTGGCGGGCATCTTGTTTAAGGTAAAGAGAGTCACGTTGGGTAGTGGAAGGAGGTGTGGGTCTTGAGGGACCAAACTCGCTGTTGCTTGAGGGACCAAACCCTAAAGGGTGAAGCAGCGAGAACGAAGCGAACAAGTGGAAGCCACGTCAATACACGAAGTGAAAAGATTGAGGACTCGAATAACGTCCACAACACGTACCTGCAATACTTATAAGTGATGTGAAGTGTTGAGTCCTACCGCGACTTTTGAAATGTCTCAACCCAAATCGAGGTTTCGGCATTTCCCGTACCTAATGTGCACCAAACCGAGCTAGTTTCTCACACGACACTGACTGGACCAGTTTCAACGTTCCACTTCAGTACAGGCTGGGACCCCACCTATTTCAACGTTGCAGACCTTCCAGGCTCATGACTCTGACTGTTGTCATCAAACTCTTTCGCTCTCTATCTGCCGATTGAAATCGACGAATACATCGCTTCAATCAAGGTGGGTGGTCCGTGGTTCAGATCCAGCTTACGAACAAATCGCATAACCATGGGTGTGGGCGGCGTGTCCCCCAGATACCTGAGGCATACTCAATTGGAGTGGGACGCTATCAATGTAGCGAGGAAATCAGTGTTTGACAATACAATTTCGAAGACTAATCGTGAAGCTTGTCTTGAATCAACCTCTGACATGGGCGCGTGGAATGGAGCGGACACGGTGGATAGCCACTTAGGACTTTGAATCCCCACCGTGGATCTGCAGACTCGGGATCCCCGTCGGTAGCGGAATCCCCTGTTTTCCACTGCCTGCCTGCATCGTCCGCTATTCCATTCGCAAAAGTCAGCCCTTTGGCTCTCAGTTCTGCTGCCTTAATTGCTGCTTCGCAGAAGGCAAGCAGGCCATCGGCCCTTCCCGCCGTCACTCCAGTACAAGTTGCACAAGGCTCTTATCAGTTTCCCATTCAGCTTCCTGCCCCAACTCCGTTCTCCTACCATAGTTGCCTCAATTGGATTACTGTCCATTCCCACGTGTAACTTTGTACCCTTCGGACACGCGGGTTACGCATTGCTCCCTTTGGCCCAGAGATGACAGGCCGAGTCGGCTACTTCTCAGCAGTTACCTCCGATTGTGTAGGAGCATCAGCGAGAACTGGTGCCGAGTTTATGTCAACCGATGTAAGCTCTGAAGGGCGTTTCGGGCACCAAACTGGCCCGTCCGCAATAGGAGCGCCATTGTTGCGGTTGATACGCTCGGAGGAAGCCAACGATCTGCAACATTCCCCAATTTGGCTCTGCTTCAAGAAAAGCGACGGAATATGGTGGAGTCACGCAGCACATGCGTGACCCCTTTGCAAACAGTCGGACGGTGTTGAACCACGGAATTTCGTGACCTTTCAGTAGATAATTTACCAGCTCGGTAGGCGGCCATGCTGAGATCTATTCAACATGGACTTTTGGAAGTGAGTTGGTAAAGCAGAGTTGGTACCAAGGATGTTTAAAAGAACACGTTGTCCCGGACCTGCCTAATGCAACGTGCAGCGCGGGATATACTGGTGGGGCCCTTTCACCCCAAAAACCATCCTTTTAATGCACTTTAGCCAGGTAGAACTCCAAACAGACTGAGGTATGACCAGCGGCCGCTCAGTTGTGGGACCGGTTGGTTTCAGATAAAGCGCGCAACTGCTCTTGTTGTCTCTCACAACCCTATGAATGAACTGGAAAACGTTCAAGTCGAGCATTGATGCTAACGTTGAGCCCAACATGATCATGACAGAACAAGCGCCGGCTACACCCAGTGAGACAGTTGAGCTACTGCACGCACTGCCAGTGTTGGCATTGACACGATCAGACCACCAATCAGACCATTTGTGGTCTGATTGTGCTTCCGACAAGGGTCCATTGTCTCAAGGTCCGAAATACGGAAGTAGCCGGTTTCCAACCAGACGAGGAATAACCCGAGCCTCATGTGATTACTTTGCGGCTATTTCCGCGAAACTCGTTGCCGACACTGCCGACATTGAACTAGCGAGGTCCCGGCTTCAGCCGACAGACAACTGATGGGACAATTCGGACCATGGGAAAGACGTTGTCTACTGAATCAGACCTTCGGACTTCGGACCATGCGACCATTTGGGACCATGTCTGCCCACTGCGAACCCGGAATTTGCCGGTCAAATGTCCATTTCAATTGGAATATCACGTGAACAGTTTCCCGCTCCCTCTAATCCCCTTTGCACTCTGATATGGAACTAGATGGTGCAGCTGAACAATTTCCGGTCCAACTTCTCCTGTACGACCTGACTTAGGTCCGCTCTTTCGTTGCCTGCGATCCCGCAGTGTCCTGGGCACCACCTCAACAGGATTCTGATGTCCTCATTCTCATGTATGAACTTGCTTATGGCCTTTCTGGACTCCCTCATATGCTCTTGTGCTTTCCCTGGAAGACACTATTGTCTACGTCGAATACTATGCAGTTTAGCTTGTGTGTGACTGTTTCATCTTCTATCCTGCGTCTGACCTCTTCTCCCACAGCTCTGAGGCCCCCACATTTCTTCATCGTACGCTTCTGCATTCCTGCACCCACATGGCATCGTGACCATGTCCCGCTACGCTGCTCCTTATGCACTGGAATAGACCAAACCCACTAATCTGGATTCTGAATCGAACTCCATGTATCGCTTTCAAACCAACCTTCAGCTTCCACTGCTCACCGTGACGTCAAGGAGAGAGCATAACTGATCGACTAGACCACCTGTGGCCTCCAATGACGAAAACTCTTCTTGTATTTAATTATACTAACCCACATCCCTCAAATCACTAGACTCACTGACACATGCTCAAAAGAGAGGGTTCGGATTCACCCACTGCTCTGTCTCCATCCCCATCTACGATAGACGCAAGAAATCCGCGCCCGGTGACGGAGATGCTCCCTGTATTCGTCCGAATAATACCATTCACACACTAAGCAACACATATCTGGTCGTCTATCTGGTGAAAAGCATTGGATCAGCTGTGACGGAGTGGGTCATGGACGTATTCCTCCGAGCCTGACCTTTGAAGGAAGGTGGGATATATGTATTGAAATCCCGTTTTCTCCGCAAGAAAGCTCTTCTCGAAGTCTCGAGCGCGAATGTAGACTGATGTGGAGTGTCATCAGTTTGCGGGAAATCTCGCATTGACACGCAGTGCACATCGCTCCGCGGCGGAATACCTACTTTGCCAAAAGGGTAGCTGTGTAGACACCTCCGAGCGGCTAAGAAGTATAATACAATGTAAAGCTAGAATTCCGTACTGAAATGAAAATGTAACTTACCAGGATGAAAATCATGTGGATGTAGTGGAAGCCGTAGAATACAAACTGCCCAAAAGTCATCAGGGCTACCTGGTGCATCAGAAGAACTGAAAATTGTCATACAGCAAACATGACGGCCAACGCCAGAACACTGGATTATAGAAACAGAGGAAGGATGGTTCGTGAAGTTCTCAATAAGTTCGATAAATCGTACCTAGTCAGCAGGCCAGTATTGATGGCATATACTGTTAATTTTCGTAACACCCTATCCGTCCTGAGGGAAGCGCACATTCAGGAATTTTTCGTTCGACCAGAAATAGACGAATCACTTACAGCCGAAACCCTGTGCGACGCTTCTGGAGGAAGTATGTCATAGCGAAGGCGATCAAGAGGTCTTCCGCTGCCTGCGAGGTATATACATAAGCGAAGTTCTTGCGCCAATGCACAGAGTGGACGTACCTCCAGTGTTAGCCAAACTGTCACGAGGTGGCGTTCATGGAGAATCGAGCTCTCAACACCGCGGTTGATATTTCTGTCAATGAGAATGGTGAGAATACGTCACTGTTTGAAAAGCTCCACTTACGCTTCGGCCCAGACCGCTGTGAATAGTGCGGAGTACAGGGAATCTCAGAAGCCGTTTGATTCTATAATTCGTGCAGCCTCTTACCAAGTCCAGTTCCTGGGTTAAGATATGCATCAGACTCTCCAACACATGTACTTTTAGGTCCACTCACCAACTTGCCCAAGGGTCAAGAGGGTCTGTTGAGGAGGATACCAAGATCGATAAATATTCAATAGGCGGACGGGTGACTACGTACGATCAGCATTGGTAGCCAGGTTGATTCACTCACTGAGCGAAATTCAAGAAAACATTAGGAGTTCACAAATGGAAAGGGAGACCATTGAGACAACTTACATCGATAAAGGCGAAGGGCGAAATAAAGTTGGACGACGCTGGAACAAATAGTCTAGTGGAAAATATGGTGGACTCGGTCCGACTCCAGGGCTAATCGTGGTCTTACCGCAGAAATCTGATAGACAGTATCATACCTGTTGTGAGGGGAGCAAAGTCACACCAGTACCGTAATGAGCTTATGGGAGAGCATACCATGCTGTAGATTTCGCCAGAAGACTGAAGCGGAAAATGAATGCCCAGATCGAAACTATCCTGCAAAATGGACAGTCCTCAAAACATATATCTGATGAAGCTTCTGACTCACACTTGAAATATTAGAACGAGCCTCCAAATGAAATGTGAAGTCAGCCGACCATACACCAGACAGTAAGTCATCAAATCAGCAAGCGCTCACCATAAGAACGCGACCACAAGTTTCAAAAAGATAGGGTCCTCAGGGAATCTGCGGTGATAGAGGAAGACCTGAATGGTAATTGAACCGAGGAGCCTATTTCAGGGCAAGAACGTGGAGTGGGCGGAACGGGCGCATGAACACAGTGGAAGGGTGGAAATGTTTATTATTCACAGAGAATATGAATGCCAATCCCATCGATATAACGCACATGCCTTGGAACACAAGCCCAGAAATGAAACCTCCGACGAGGTTTTCGCGAAGGGACATACCCATCTCTGGCGATGGTATTGGTGAGGCGATCTGTGAAATGGGCAAAGGAGGTGCCTCGCCAACTGCGAGGACTTGTTACATGGCGTTATATACATCTCTGTGGTTTTGAAATAAGTAATTGGGGAGATTGAATGTAGCCCTTAATAATTTTGTGAGTTGCTTCTTATGATCGCACAGCGCTGTTCGGAAAGTATAGCTAACAATGAACCAATTGGGGGGCTGGTGCAGAGGAAACGATATTTGAGGCTTACGGCTCCCCATTGATGATAAGAACATGATTTCCAATGACTGCGAACTTGTCGCACTTTTTGGAGATTGGACCGGTCGCGGTAAACCGAGAAAGCGTGAACGTTATACAGCGGGGGCACCCGATGTTGATAGGACCATTGGAGACGGGCACAGTAAGCCGGCACTGCCCAGGATTTGGGAGCGAAGAAGTAGGAGAAGAGCATAGCCAAGATATGCATGGTCACGGAACTACAACATCATACCACATTTACTCTGATCCATGATACACTACTGTACCTTGTCCATAGTGTCGCTACAAGAAAATAGCCAGTAAACACGAGATGAAATGAGGTGGTTTTTTTTCTATTACCCGCAGACTTCGGCGAGCGCCAAGGGCATGACATGTGCGCACCAGAGGTACTGGCGACATTCAATCGGAAATTTTCAATCCAGACCAATGAATGATTGAGATCCGCCAACCACCATCAATTCAATCCCGAGCTCCGGACTTCCCCAACCACATGCACATGGTAGGCAGCATCCCAGCCACTACTAAAGCAACCACAGCAACGGCTCCCACAACGATAACACCCCATCTTGCAAATCGCGTTAGCATAACGTAAGCGCTCACTCAGTTCAAGATAAGTGAACTAGATTCATTGTAGTGGGGTAAGCGCGAGGAGAGATATTCAGACGGTGTAGAAGACGGCGTCAAAGGATGTCATCTCGCCTCAGTTCAAGATAAGTGAGCTACGGGAGAGAGAGAGAGGTCGTGAAAAGTGGCTTTTAGGCCCTCACGTGTGCGTTCATGAACAATGAATCCAACCAAGGAAATTAGGGGGGAAAGGTCCATGTGGGGTCACGGTGGTACCTTACTGCTAATCCGCACAGCTAGTGCCAGTAAATGTGTTTCAACCATTTTGCATTGGTAGCTCGGTACCAGTGCTATGACCCATGCACGTGTATGAATTAATGCATGTCTTCATTCTTTGACCATCAACGATACACGATCACATGTAACACGTTACATTCTGAACGGCAACTGCTATGTTCCCCTATGTTATATTGCAGTGCTCAGCGAGTGTGATCCCATATTGTTCTTGATGCCATCGTAACGAAGTGGGATTTGTCGTTAATATAATTACTCCCACGTTCCTTGAGTTTGAATGTTATGTAAAACAAGGGCAAATCATTTCGCAGATGGAAAGGAAGAGGGAGCGCTCTTCCCGTTACGGCTAAGCTAGAAGCATAATACGCTCCGAAGTTAAGCTTCCGCACTGCACTGTGGGAAGTAAATGGCCGTAAAAAACCATTTTTGGTCTGGTTTTTGACCATTTACCATTGTTTTCGTGATATTTTTTTCATTGTAAATTACAATATACGTTTCATGATGCTAAATACCAGACTCTTCCCTGCATAAATCACCACTCAATTCATGGTATTCGAGCTGCGATGTATTGTACAAAGGTCAGAGGTATGGACGGCCGGAGTTCGGTTAGTCATCGTCGTCGATTGACCTTGCGAGCTTGCAACTGCGATCGATGATGGCCCAATGACGGGAATGCGTACGTACCATAGGGAAATCGGCCACATACTGAAGAGACCGAAGCGAGAGCGATAATTTGAGTGTAGTAAAAGAGGTCGGTGCCAAGGCAGCATCCATGTAAGCACCGCTATCTGAGACAAGGTCAACGAGGTGACGCATGTTCTCACAAGCGACGTTTTGTGACGTGCTCGGGGATTTGAGTCCACAGCTACTTCAGCTCAATAGTGAGAGCCATGAAATTCAAACACTCCTACCCAGACGAAGGATAAGTCCCTAAATTCAATTCGTCGTTTTTGGGCCCACATTGTGGAAACTTTGTCACCTCCCCCGACAATGCATGATTTCCCTAGCGAGGCATAACCAAGAGCTCGATTATATGTTGGTACGGCTTGTTGTAGACATTAGTAAACTAGATCGCGACTTTGCGATGGGTGGAATTGTCAGGAATGTTTCTTGTCGCGAGGAGCCCCAAGTATGGAAGCTGGCACTTAAAGATGTAAGGGTAGGTGGGCAGAGACTGTGGCGCTTAGACTGAAATCGGACTAAGTTGTTCTCGGCAGTTTCCATTCCACTCAGTGCCTTATCCTCTCCACCATACCATACACGTTCTGCAACCTGCTCATTTCCTCCCAATTTGACTATCCTTTCGCTATGCAACTAGCTACTCTTTTCAGAAGTGGCAAGTACTTATGAATATGGACACTGGGCATGCTGCCTCACTGACAGCAATGCCATGAATGGCTTCCATCTGGACGTGTTTCAACGCGTCTTTACGCGTCTTTAACTCATTGGTGAATGAGAAATAGCATTTATTTATTTCTTTATTTTAGAAAATCGTCAAGCCTCTCACAGCAAACAGGAATCTATGTTACCCAAGGGTCACACCTGTGGTAGAAAAGCTCGTGCATCTGCTTAGGGCGTAGTTTGGCCCCATGTACGCTCATTAGTTTATCTCCCAACTACCTCTTCCCCCACTGCTGCCTTGCTAATTTCCCCCTGTGCTAGTAACCAAAAAACGCGACTGGAATTCGAAAGCGATGATAATGACCAAGGCCCGATGACAACCACCTCTACTAGTACTGCCAAAAAAGAACCCCCGTGGCCGTCACTATGATGGCCCCACAACAGAAGAAAGTCTGAATCGATTAACCTGGCCCACTCAGAAGGAAAGACTGCCTCGCGAAGTTGTGCGCAAGGGTTGAAGTTCACTTATGGTATCTTCTACCGTCTTATTCACAGCCCGAGACTTCCTCCACTTTCATTAGGTTATGCTCTGTCAAATCAACCTCATCAAAATCGAATTGATGCTCGACTTTTATGCTACCTGTCTCTTGCTCGCACTCAACTCCGTACTTTTCTCGTGAGCCCAAGGCTTCAATCCTGCGTTATGCTTTCCGGATCGGGTCTTCTTCGTCACTCCTCGAATTGACCTTTCTGTCTTTTGCTCACCTCAACTCGGTTCATTTCCTCACTTGCAATGACTGCTATTCATTGCAACGTAACCTAGAGTCTCCGCTGTATATCGCCATAAATGTAGTTGTAAATGTTGGAATTTGCACGTGGTCTTTTAGGGAAACCTAAAAGTTGGACATACTGGGAATCGAACTCCAGTCTTCTGGATCGCGAACTCAGCGTGCACAGCCATTACACCATACGCCCTGATAGGCTGAGGTGGTTATTTCAACAGTAAATAACCACGTTTTTCACCAAATTAACAATATTGTAAATGACGAAATCCGACTGGTAAATTACAAAATGCACCCTTGTAAATTGACCGTTTACAATCGTTATCGTGGTGGAGAATCATTAAAAAACAGGTCATCTACCTCCTTTAACGTGGTAAAGGAATCCTGGTAAAATGCAATGGACCACATTGTAAAACACAGTTTTAATCATGTTAAAAATGAGTGTATTATACAATGGTTAAGATGATCTTTTACGCATCACTAATTCCCTCTGTGACTGAAGATGTAACTTACCAGGATGAACATCATATGGACGAAGTAGAAGCTGCAGAATACAGAGATACTTAGGCTCAGTACACAAGAAGAGTTGGAAACAGCTTACAAAAAACAAGAGGATCAATGTATTAGAATACCAACTTTGTTTACATCGGGAAGTTGTGTGGCGGTTATTCGTAGCGGTTATTCTGGGGCGCTTTGAGGCGTTGGGGGCGTTTTGCCCTTTCTTATTCAACTTAAAACTCCCTTTGTACGACGACGTTGCCACTCAGGAATGTCGCGTATATAAGAGAGAAATTCTGAGACCTTTTCTCCCTCAGACCTCTTATTCGAGTCTGAGGTGAGAACTATTTCTATCTTTTACTTTATAACTCATGTGTAATTCTTGTCGCAGTCTAACGCGACATAGTCTGAATTCCAATACAATGCTGGAACACTGGAGTATTGAAACAGAGAAAGACTGGCTATTGCCACTGCAACAAGTTTGGCAAATCGTACCTAGTCAGCAAGCCAGTATTACTTGCATGCACTGTTAACTATCGAAATCCTGTGCGGCGCTTCTGGGGGAGGTATGACATAGAGAAGGCAGGTTAAGAGGTCTACCACCGCCTGCGGGTGTGGTAGGGTGTGTACATGACCAAAGTTCTTGGGTCGATGCATAGAATGGATATACCTCCAGTGTTAGCCACAGTATCACGATGTGGCATGTGGCAGGGCGGAGGACCCTTTTAATCCCGTGGATGAGATTTCTGTTAACGAGGATGATGAAAATGCCTCGCTGTTTGACAAAGCCCCACTCATGCTTTAATTTGACCCAAATGGCTTCGCATAATGCCAATTAACAGAATAGGGGAATCTCAGAAGTCGATTGATTCTACAATTTTGAAACCTCTTACCGAGTTCAGCGTGCCTTTTACTCCGAGTCCGGGACCCCCAACAGGCATCATCTAATGAAGGAAAATCACTATGGCATCAACAATGGATGTCTTACTTCCCTCTCAAAATTTCCATAAGGTAAGGTAGAATTCAGCTGTTCGTCACGAGTGGAGGGACATTCTTGCCACTTCGGACACAGCTGCATGGCAGTGTGTTGGCGCCCAAGTTGGGTACACGTTCTTATCTAGTTTTCTGTTGAACACAATTCTTTCCCTTTATCGAGGGTCTATCACTGAGCCCTCCACAGTAACATATTTCCCCTTGCAGTTAATTTTCGAAATCAGTGCATGTGCGCAGAGTAAACTATCCAAGCCATGGTCGAGTAATTATGAGCCCTTGTCCCAATGAACACCAACCAGATCGAATTGGTGAGATAGCCTATTGGACGAGGATTTCCCGCACAAGGGGGGGGGGGAGGAGTCCAAAATATCTTGCGGAGATAACGTATGATGGGCGGGCCAGATCGCTGGGGTTCTCCCAGATCAAGATCAAAAAGGGGAAGACCTACCCAAATAACATCGATGAAGGAATAATAATCGCAGAGCTAGAACAAGTAGTTAGGAGCCGAACGAAGATGTAACTCCTTCGACATCAAGGCGGATATATATCCCTTGCTCTTGCCAATTTGCGCCTCATTATGTTGTGCCATTATCTTCCGATCATCCAGCACAACATGCACAGTGGACGTCACGCAAAAGTGCTCGTCCTGGTATGCCTCAGCGAAAGACCATGTACATGCGTGCAAACGTCCCAGCGGGGAAGCGGATCGCCACTATATATAGACACGTTTGCACAACAATTTCCGTGGTGAGTGGGGAACGACCCGGGTTGAGGTGGGATGCAACGGTGGTGGGAGGTTGCGTTCAGACAATCTGGGGGACAACTGTGCATTGGAAGTCGACCGAAACAAGACTGGTCAGGCGTGGGAAGAGTTCCGCACCTGACCAATCTCCCGAGGGCTCATGCCACCCTCAAGGGTTCTGTACCCCCGAACCCCGAAATGCGCGTAATGAGTTACTCTTAAGCTTATGCTTATGTGGCGCGAGTACGTGATCAATTCGGTCATGTATCACGGTCACCAATTAAATCCGACGGATCCGCGGACCTGGCAGAAAGTCACCCAGCCCTGGAGCACTCTTGGGTGTTCCTGGACTTGAAAGCATTTAAGAACACTCAGGGAACTGGAGGTGGTCTTTCTTGTTCAAAATCGTAAGCCGCAGGATCCATTAAGGATCTATTGCAGGTTGTGGAAGACATTCGGAGAGGACTGAACCTGGTCTTTTGGAATATCGTTATTGATTCTGATTTAGTGGAGTGGGATTGAATAACCTGGTTATGCAAGGTATCATAATGATGGGATTATCCAGTCGTCCGCTTTCTTTCCCCAAGAAAGTCCCTCAAAATCATTCCCTGATAGTTTATCCCCGCGCATGAAGCTGAAGCCCGCTGCGAGGGTTATAAAGTCGACCCATGCGTTGCCTGGTCATCTAATCTCCTCAGCTGCCTCTGGTCTTTGGTTTGAGCATGTGTGGCAAGGAGGCGCGTCTGCTGCATTCGTCACTTTCAACACCTGGAACAGAAGCCTCCCAGGTGGATCTATGTCCTCGTTCGAGTAGCATCCGGCGTGCTGAAGCTGCCAAGCTCAACGACCCCACAAGTCTACCTTACTCGGTATTCTCCCGCCACCACAAGTGGCTTATTGTTTTCCTTGCCGCTTATGCTGGTCTCATTTCGCCTCTCGCTGGAAATATCTTTTACATCGCCATCCCTCAATTAGTCAGAGCCTTCCACAAGACAACCCAGCAGATAAAGTCAGCTTCTTCTTCACTTTATTGTCAATCTTATTTATCACTGCTTCCGTGTAGCCTGATTGTGACGGCATATATGATTTTCCAGGGAATAAGTGCGTCATTTTCTTCCCATACTTCTCGGCTGGCATATTTCTGGACACTTTCTCATGATCACAGCTCCTATCCTGTGGGGAACGTTGGCAGAGGTGTATGGGAGGAGGTATCAATTACTGCCCTTTCCCTCTAACTCTACAATCAACCCATCCTTCAGGCCTGTCTATCTCACTTCTCTCGCATTCGTTGTGTCTACGTCTGTCGGCCTTGCGTTAGTTCCAACGCCCAAATACTGGCTTCTTGTGCTACTGCGGTGTATTTCCTCATCAGGCGGTGCCGTTGTCATCCCCCTTGGTGTGTCATTCTGCTACTCAGTACACCAAAAAATATTCACCATCTGTACTCTTCAGGGAGCGGGATCGTGAGTGACATTGCTGCCACTTCGGAACGTGGAATGTTTATGGGTGAGCAATTTATTTAGTGATAGGGCTGAAAGTCGAGGTCATTAAGAGTTTTCGGCCGCGCGGTTCAGGAATGGTGAATTTGGGTCCGATGCTAGGGCCTTGCCTGGGGTACGCAGCGAGCTCGCGATCTGATGCATTTTTTTTCCCTCAAAACCTCCAACAGGCCAGTAATAGGAGGGTTTATCGACCGTTACCTTGGCTGGCGAGCAGTCTTTTGGTTCTTGTCAATTTTCACTGCATGCTGTCTTGTGCTTCACTTCTGGTTTCTCCCGGAGACATTGCGAACCATTCGAGGAAATGGGAGCATTCCTTCAAGCGGGATCAGCATGACACTGTTGGATATGTGCAGGAAGATTTGTCGGGGTGGCAAGGAGGAACCATGGACTGAGTTGATGTTAGCTGCCGAACATGAACGGAAGATGTTCGTCGAGCAGAAGAAAACCGTTCATCTGGTGCCTTTTAAGGTCTCTCACAACATGGGATTCAGTACTTACTTCCTCCCATAGCTGCGCACGCTTCACTATTTTTTCGAGAAAGACGTATCAATCCTTCTCTTTTTCAATGGAGTGAACTTCATGAATATGTACATAGTCGTATGTAACCCATTTCGACTTCGTCACGTCCCCATTGACAATCGTTCTTATAGACGGCCACCACCGCGACCATAATGCAGGATACATATGGGCTGGGTCCGAGTGATGCAGGTCTTTGCTAGTAAGCAACCATGGCCATGGCTACACTCCAAGGACCCATGACATTCCAACAGTCTTCCCTTTGGTACTGGAATGGCTGTGGGCAGTGTCATAGCTGGAAGACTGATCGATCGCGATTTCCACTCTACTCTCGCAAGCTACATGCGGGATCGTCGTTACGATCGCGAAGAGCATCTTCCAAATTCACTGAGAGATATAAAGAATGGTAAGAAATCGTTGTCAGAAGAAGAGATGCTCCGGTTCCCTCTTGAACATGCAAGGCTCAAGTCGTCTCCGATTTGTAATATTCTCGCTTTTGCCATCGTCGAGCCAACCACTTACCCTTCCATCCTAGACGACCTTGTTCTTTGGTCCTGCATCGTAGCCTATGGATGGTCTGTACATTTTAAAGCCCATCTTGCTGTCCCTCTCATCTTTCAGTTCTTCCGTACGTCATACCGCTCTGTTAGGTGCAGCTTCTGATGATTTTCTAGAGGGCCTTGGTCAGGTCGCATCGAGCCAGTCTATTACTGTGCTGTTAATGGATCTCTATCCTGGAGAGGGAGCATCCATTGCCGCCAATGTAAGCATCTCATGTCTGTGTTCTAGCCCAGTGATTTGTGAACATCCTTACAGATCTACCTGGTAAGTGGGGAATTCACCACGGCCGCAGATTACTCCGACTTTACCGGATGGGTGATTACAGACTCGCTCCCTGATCGGGGCTATTGCTATCGCGATCATCGATCCGCTTCGCCGCGCCGTGGGAATGGGCCCAGCGATGGTGCGTGATCTGACATTAAGCCCTTCTCGTGAACTTGTCGTGAACTGTGTCTCGTCTGATCCTGGGAATTGGTCTAGATGGTCATTGTTAGCGTTCCCTTGTGCCTCCTTCCTCTCATGTTTCTTGAACGGAGGCGTGGAATGAGATGGCGTCAAAAACGCGCGGCAAGAGGTGCAACTGCCAACTGCTCCGACCCGGCTCAGAATAATATCCCTGATATCAGTGGCCGGACTACCCCGATACAGGGGTAGATGGCCCTATACAGCTTTCATCTCTTCCTAGAACTCCTAGTTGGGATTACTTGCAAACTTCTTCGTAATCATCTCACCGTCATTGTCTATAACTCTTCGTCTGCAGCGGGTTTACAAAAACCGCGTTCTATGGCCGTCCTCGTGCAGGACAACAACCAACAGACTGCCCCTTGTGTTCGTATTTATGAATTGTGAAGCAGAAAACAAAATGTTGTACAGGATCACCATCTTGAAAGGAAATGAAAAGTGAGCCGAGGCGAGGGCTGCGCCAATATCGACCTGCCCGGTGACCTGCAGCAACAGAAAACCTCCCAAACTCCATCACACATCAACCAGCTCCCACTGCCGAGTCAACAAAAATGGGTATACATGTGGGAGCACTTGTTGGAGATGTACGTACTTTCTGTGATGTATCGCCGTCTATGTATTTGAGGCGAACCTACGCAAGGTTTTATCTAAGGGCTGGTCAGGGCTATATCTCGATACGCAGGGCTCACATTAGCCTCAGGGTCGTCCGTCTGAGAAATGGCTAAAGTAGTATCGGGTACCAGAAGTACGTATGATTCCTCTCCGGCAATCTTTCGAATTGCCCAAAGACTATCTGGTAGTTCATTTCCAAGCGCTTCGTCTCCGTGGAATGATCTAAGGGCTTGGACGGGCAGATCGGTTGTAGGAGGTGAAATCCAGGACAGGATATATCTCTCTGACTTAGGATTCCGAATTCGATAATTATCACCCACGAGCTCAACTTCCCACTTTGTCGAAGTCAAATTCAGCATACTGAAAGCGAGTGGATCATTAATAACAATAATGAGACCGCACCTCCTGGGTATCGTAGTCCGCTGCAGTTGGTTCGGAACTCGAGACGGCTATTCCATTATGCTCTCCTTTCTCGAACGTGATCCTATCCCCTGTCCCCCTGTTCTTGAAGAACATCCGTCTCATACTAAACCCGTTAATGAGTTCATCGTATCCTTGATTGAGGTCACAAGTCAAAAACCCCTTACGAAGCGACAGGTTCGGCACTATGATCTATTCCGCCCGATCTGAGATAGTCCTGAGCTCGCCGCTGTGCATCTGCATTTATGTCTGCCTTTGACTTGCTATATTTGGGCTCATCAAGTGGGGGAATGCGGTGACCCGGCCTTTCCGGATCTTCAAAAGTCCACTACCAGGGGAGTCGACGTAACCCACTGAGCTTCCGCCACTGCAGACCACAGTTTCCGTACACATACTGCTGTAGCTTGGGAAACTGGAGTCTTGATAAGATTTACCTATTAGCACGCCCCGAATTGTGGACATTCACATTAGCTTTGATGTCTGATCCAATCTCAATGCGCTTACCAAACGATCGGACGGTCTCCGTTCCCACAATCTGCCATCCGGTAATGAGATGCTTTTTACGAAGTGAATATGTCAGTGTACAAGGCATGCCTGATAACGGAAACGGAGGCACCTAAACATGGAGTTCGTGATATGTGTGATCTTCCATTCTCTGAAGTTGCTCAGTTGATCATCTACACCATCACAAGTCAAAATGGAAGAACTGTGTGATGGATGGACCCACGCACAGAAAATGGAATCAGGATGATCAGGGCTCGGTCTAGTTCTCTCGAATGCACCGTCATATATATGAGGTGCGGAAATGGCGTACGCTCCTGTGTCCTGACTAAACCTTATGGTATGCTAGAACATTCCCGAACCAATTGTAAACACATTGGTGAACCGCAAAGGCGGAAGGGGAAGACATACCTTGAATGAGGGTAGCGCCGCGGGTAATGACGATCGATGAACCCCGATGGAGCCTGCGTTTGCTACGTGACCCGTAGAATTCATGACGGCATCATCTCCTGGCGGTAAAAGGCTTTTGATGTAATACTGAAGTTTGAAACAGGATTGTAACACATGTCAGCGCTGATTCGATGAGAGGCGTTCCCTCTACGATGTTGCACTTGCCGTTCCATCTGGGATGATTGCCATGGATTATAAGTAGCCGCGTCCTCAACGAAACAAGTTGGAGTCACGAAAAGGAAAGACGTGCTGCCTCGATCACTAAATGGTTGAATCGGACGGTATCTGCGGCGGTGCATTGGATATGGCCGGTCAATTGTACACCCTGCGACCCACAGTCACAAAGTCATTGAAAAACAACAGATAGAAAATGCATGAGAAGAAGAGGGCGCAAAAAGTGAGAAATCGGGGCGAGCAAATGCGGCCGAATGATAAACCTCGACGGCGCGCAGTGCCATGGAGTTTACAGTGGCAACCGAGCACAAACAGTCGCTTCTTACATAAAGCTACCTGGCTCATCGCTTCAATATACAAAGAATCAAAAATGAGAAAGTAAAGAAAATCTATCCTGATCACGAGCTGATATTTGCGGAGTTTGCCCTTGATTCTGTCGACCATGGTCTTTGATGTTGCGCATGCCTCTTTCATCACTGGGCTGCCTTACTTGTCCTCTTTTTTGGTTAGCTCGCTGTGCCTTTTAGGACTGGACGTGTTTCTATGCAATCCAAAGGGGTCACACTGCACTCCACCACGCATACTGGGATGCGATTTTTTTGTAGTACTCACACCCAGGAGTGTAGGACGAGTCCAAAACGGCTGCACTCTCTGATGGTTGGCTATGTGATTTCGTGCAGCCCCATTTTTGCCCTTGGGTCAGGAAAGTGATTAGGTGTAACACCAGTCTCTATCAGAACAGAGTCGTGATGTGCCAGAGCGATAGCTCATCATGACTCTATAGTTTGTGTCGAAGCTGCGGGTCTCCTGCCTGAGGAGGGCCTGAATATACCAAAATCACGATCAAGGTGATTATCCTTTAAGCGTGCAGCAAAGGGCATGCGCAAGTTAGTTCACCATTTTCATTGTTCGAACTCGAACTCTTGCCGCATGATAATTGGACCGAACTACTCGTACTCTCGTCCTCACCATCTAGGTGTTTGCCTAATGGTATCGACTTAGTGCTGGAGGCCATCCTTTAGATTGTGTTGTCGAATGACATCTGTCATCGTGTGGATGGTTAATACAGCATAAGTCAAATCTAGCGGCACCGCCCATCCTCCAATTTATGAGTGAGTGCTTGTTTCCGTGTAGAAAGGCTGGATTGATTGGAGCCAGCGATAATGCCGGAATTTGTAGTTGGATATGGCCAAGTTGCAATATCGCAAAGAGTTGCCAGGTTTTGCTTCTTGATCTGTACCCTGGGAAGGGTCGATCGATCATTGCCAATGTACGCCGCCTTTCCGCTAATGTTCCGGACCCACTCAGATTTCGTCCACTTAGAATAATCCCGTATGTTTTCGGAGAACCCTAGCTTAAAGTACGATGTTTAGTAAGTGCCATCGCGACAGCCGTTATTGATCCAATCATGAAAGCGATCAATTTTGGACCTACGATGGTTTGTCAACCCTGCTGCTGTACGTGGCACCAACGACCGTTAGTTTGTTCCCACGGCCTCCGGGAGTTGCCGGAGGCACCAAATCAATTCAATCCAAAATCTTCGTGCGACATGCGACAAACTAGTCGTTATAGTACAGCATTTCGTGAGAGACACGTCGTACGAATTATCAAACGCGGTTGGGGGTCAAATCGGTAGCGAATAAAATAGCAGCCGACGACTTGTGATCGCAGCTAAGGTGCTAGATAAAGGTTGCGCCGCGATATTGTAGGGGTGAGCGCAGACAAGATCTTTGCCAAGGGCTGAGCTGCGAGCAGCAGATAGGAAGACCACATAAATAAATGTACGTATACGATAACTGCCAGACCAGTAGGCCAGTGACCCTTTCTAGAGCACATGGCTGTCAGTGGCTACATAATACATGTATACAATATGTTGCCGCTTGAAGCCTGAACTTTGTCCTCTCTTTACGAGGACCCCTTTGACTTGATGGCCTCACTATCCGAAACACCAATTGAAATCCTCGCCTACCTCGAACATCCTTTTGACCTTCTCGCATTGCTTTCTCACGGCTTGTAATTCCTGAGTACCTAACCTACTGCTGTCCCCGAAGTTTGGAGGACATTCTGTGATAATGGGCGTTTTTCGCGAAACATTAGACATGTTTGGGCGGGGATTGGCTGCGTGTACCGCCTTTGGAACATTTGAAAGTTACGCGAATCTGGCGAAGATTCCGAGCAGGAGTACCAGGTCCAGGAAATCCTGGGCCACGCCTGGGATACAGGCGACTGTCTGTAGTTTCACATCAAATGGAGTCTTAGTGATCTCACTTGGGAAACACCATCAAGTTGACTGCATTAGAACACTACGGAATGTTACATGGAGTTGATGCCGAGGAAAGCAAATTTCTTTCAAATATTACAAGTCGGACGAGTGGTGTTTGATCCCCCTGGCAACAGGATACCGTGCACTTCAAAACCAATCCCGTTCAAGGTCGGACGCAGGGCTTTATCGGAACGCACAAGGAGTGATCGCCTTGGGCTGCCCTGAGCCAGATGGTCAGCATCCGGAAGCGATAATGCGTGCCATCTCTCACGGTTGAATGTTTTGACGAACATCAACAGGACAGGGCATGAGACGGCATCCTGTGCTGTTGTGATGTTCCCTGGCTTTTCGTGAAACACCTGGCACTCGGAAACTGCTCACAAAAGATAGGTGGACTAGATTGATGGGTGACCACACTCCACATACCCGCCAGCGAAGGATAGAGCAAAGCTTTTCAATATTGGGACCTTGACCATCCAATGAGTCGAAACGAGATGCATCGTTTACATAAAACTAAGATACGTGACAAAACTCAAAGAGCCTGGCTCACTTTCGTGAGACAACACTGTGGAAAGCGGCAAACGAATGTCAAACTAGCAATTAGCATACGTGTGCTTATTCCGAACCTTCCCAATATTTGCCTAGAGGATGACATCAAATAATACCAAATAAAAGAAAAGAAACACACTTCTGTTGTCGTCCATCTTTCAAAGATGGTCTTAATCGCCATGAAAGTCCACAAGGTTGGCCAATGATTTTCGATGTAAATGAATCAGCTTCGCCGTTAGACGCTGATAAATCTCAGGCTGTCGTGTGATCAAAGCCCAATGGCATAATTGGACGAGGTAAGGACGAGAGGGTTCCAATTGCTGTGCGGCCTCATCCAAATGTGTCATAAATCTCTCCGCATCAAACTCCCCATCGAAAAAAGTGACCGCTCTTCTCAAGCTCCAAGTCATGCATCACAATTGGGATGATTTCTGGAAGAAGCGGGACCAGGTTGCGCTTGCGCACGCGCCGGAGGTAGCGGTTATAACAGTTGCTATTATCACCCGAGTTCACTAAAATATTACGCCGATATAGGCGTACTTGAAATGAAATCATCATCAACAATCGTCAAATCCGCCAGGCATGTACCTCAGGATCGGAGTTACTTTGACTGCCATCCAAACATGGGCAACAATATCACACCTGTTGTTATCCCAACCTTCAGCGCGGTTCAGCTGAATTTCAGATGCGTGGGTTATGTTTCCACGGCCCTCTGAGGTGCTAAAACTATCGTCATTGAGGGCTTCTTCGTTCACGGGTCCATGATCATTGGCTATTCCTTGTCCATTAATTCCATAAATCGCGTCCCCGTCCGCTCATAATTGGATCGATGAGCTCAGTATCGTATTACCAGATGCCCCCCACTGCCGGTTCCTCGGATGCTGCGAATTCTGGCAGTACATCACACAGGCGAAGTGGAAGCACTTCACAGCTGATGCACTTTGTGACATTCTATGTACGTCATGGAACCGTGAACAAATTTCTAAGGTTCTCACTTTCAATCGTGAATTTCTGACCTGGAAAGGAAGAGGAGGCCAAATACATGCAGGCGATGAATGGCGCAGATAGTGTTGTCTGGAAATGCGGAATATTGTTGACTTCATAATCCTCAGACATCACAGCGATCGTCTGATGGGCGCGCACGTATCGGTTTGCCATCTTCTGTACTCGCATAATGAGTATATATACACCATCTGGAGCGCACGCCGAACACATTCTACTCGTCTGATGTCACTTCTCCCGTTGTCTCCGAATGGCAGTTGTCCTCAGTAACCATGCGACATTCTCGTACACGACAAAGGTGACGCACGTTCCAGGCAACACTCTAATAAGATTCGTCCCTAGTCCCCTATAAAATCCCCGATAGCCTTCGTCCTGCCATGTTTTGCGAGTGCAGGTACGGAGATTTGGATAGAGGTGGTTTGTAGCGTTGTTTTGCAAGCGAGAGCGGATGACTTGGTATGGGTATGTAGAAGCAAGCGCAAGGAGCTTAGCAGCAGCCGACACGAATGTATATGTGGCGTTTGACTGTACAAATGTAAATGGGTCGAAGAAATGACCGGCATCGATGCGCTGATAGATGTGAAACTCGGACAAACGTACCAGCTTCTCTTCACCTTCCCTCCACATTCCGCCTTGCTTTTCAATTCTCCGCCGTTTTCTGTAGAAAGCAAAATTCTTCATCTGTTCGTACGCCATGAATTGTAGAGCCCCCGAGCTGACGCCGAAGAGCCCTAAGGAAGTCCCTCTATAGAGACCCCGCACACCTTCGGTGCGAACGATTGATGTTAAGCCATCTGAAGATTTAAAGGGAATTAGTTTGAGTTGTCTGGTGGCTGAATAAGCCCTTACGTGCCACGCTTCTATATGCATCTGGAGCATCAGCACGTGTAGTGAACATTCGAACTTTCACCACCCATAGAGGGTTAGTAAGCACCGCTGTTATGGCGCCTAGAGGCAAAGAAAATTATTTTGAGATGAGTATGCAAAGGATCGAGCAGGCGAACTGGCTTCTGCAGATGCTAACAAATAATCTCCCGAAGTGAGCTTCTCTGAGCCGTCCGTTGCTAATCGACCCTTTATTATAGTGTAGCTAACAGCGAATGTCAAAATTAAACGCGGAACCGACACCCGACGATTGCTCACAGCCAGAAATACAAGCCCCAGCCTGCTGCATTCCCTGCGACATTGGAACCAATACCTCGATATAAACCCTTCCACCCAGAGTCGCGCTTGATGCCCGTAAGGGAGTTGTATATTTGTTTCAAAGGATTAGAATTCCCGGGTGGTGGCGACGTTGATACCTGGAATTTGATCTTGAGGAGATCAAGCGGATGCACGCAGCAAACTGCGACGGTCCCAGCCGTTATCCCGGCGAACGAATGGTCCTGCCGATGTGCACAGAGGTCATCAGGTAGTCAGGCTCCAGAAATTGGAAATTTTTAACCTACGAGGGCTGGTGTTGGGAAAAAACTAGGACCCGTCGACATGCCACTGGACACTCTACCCCAATGAAGGGCGATAATGTGCCTAACTGGGGTCGTACTGGGGTCGTACCAAAGGTGTATGGATCGAGTAGGAAGATTGAGCAAACCTTTCGGTGGCAGTGCTGTAACTTCTCGTGCCGGCCGGCTCCGACTGTCATGGCTAATTTACCGCCCACCAAGCATTGCGCCCTTCCGCGACAATGGGCCAGCGGCGCAAGGACATGGCGCATACATGACTATTAAATATAAGGTGGCCACGTTCGATGTGGTGCTGGGTGGACCGCTCACTTGTGGCTTTCATAATGGTGTCAAGCGTGAATATATATCAAGAATCCCTCGATGGCGTGGTTTCGTATGGGGTCCACACAATATTATCTTAGGGGTTGCAATACATCTTGACACGTAGATGTTTCGTATTCTCAATATTATAGCATGTCAGTGACTTTATGGGAGCTACATATGGGGCAACCCAAACGGCTCAGGAATGTGTATTGAGTTTTCATTCTCGTTGTTTACTAGTGGACAACACTTAGACTCGACATCAAAGCATGTGTTCCTCGGGACCCATAGCTTATTTCCATCGACGTCAATGACGCCGTTGACTTTGCACTTATAACTGGGGTTATTCCAGGGGCCTCGAGTCCCATCTCACGAACGCCCTCGCGATTCACCTCACCTTTCTCAGTTTCCTCGATCGTCTGATTCATGTAACGTCCGGACATCAGGCCAACAACTACTCAACGAAGGACAATTCGTCATACCTCAAACTCCAGTCGGGAGTAAATTGGTTTAGCCCGATCCCCAGTGGCTGGGAGGCAGACAGGTGCGGGAGGATTTGAGCCAACGGCTCTGCTTATGACCGAATTCATGAGAATTCTCGCATACCCTACGAATGTATGATTAGTCCCATAGACTTCAAGGCAACAAGATCGACCACCCTTCGATTCGTGCCTAGGATCAGTGAGATCAACCGTCCAGATTCCTCTGGTTTTGAGCCTCGAGCGCAGCATGCTCTTCGCGAAAAACTCATCCGATCGTTGGGAAAACTGAGTCCACTACTGGGTGTTTCCGGCTGGTAGGGAGGGGGGGGGGGGGTGAAAGCGTTGTCGCACCTGGTTCTTTAGCTCACTCGGAACCCAGAAGCAGGGACTTCAGTGGGCCTTGAACCGAGGGTGGAGTGGCGTCGACATCTTGTCCAACTTCCATATTTTTAATGGAGGATTGTCACTCGAACTCCTCCCGTGCTCTAGCGATAGGATCTGTCCAGCTTGATACTGAAATCTGGTGGAGGAAGTCCAGGAAAGTTCTCGACATTCTGTTACAAGTTCCGAATCCCATCACGCACGTAAGCACGCACTAAAATTGTGCGAGACCTTCGCTGGCTGCCTTTTGAATATAGAGCTCTTCATCACGAATTCTGTAAAGACCTTGGGCCTAACAATGAGGACGTTTTGCTGCGGAACGTAGTCCACTACTTTCCAGATAGAACTTGAGCCACAATAGGTGGATCGGCGTCACCTAGATGTGGAGACCGGGGCTACAGGCGTCGGGGCAAAGAGCGGGAGAAGAAACTTTCAGAGAATAAAGTGTGGTACGAAAAGGATGTGTGGTAGAGAGCCAAACACCGTGAATGGTACTACCCAATGTGATATTGTGGGGGAATATGAAGATGTTGCAGACTTCAAGTTGAGCGATTTGCACCAGACACCAGACCGGACCGCAACTGCGAGTATCTCCAGGAACCAGAAATATTCTGGCGCCCAACGAAGTTTGCAAGATGCTAGGTAAGTAGCCAGCAATAGAAAAAGACGCGCACCGACATCAAGTGTCTGGCCATCTATGTATGTGGTGACCGTGTTTAGCGAATGTTTGATGAACTGTGTATGAATAGTACTGTATCGTGACCAGTGGCTGTGCTTTTCTGGCAAGAACCCGACGGAGAACCTCCCTGGGTGCCATTGTTAGCCATCTCCTGGTCTATATCGGAAGCTTCCGTCGCTCGTTTAAACTTGTACTCTTTGAGGCGGGGGATTTTTTACGCCTCAGCCTTACCTGAGGGTTCATTGATCTCACGCAATTTCCCCATCGGGTCATCTGGCCTGCTTCGCTCAGGCAGCCAGAGTAGCGGGCAATGCTCGGCTCAGGCAAAGAGGATGGGGATGTAGCATGCCGCCCTTCACATGCTGCATATAAACCCAACATGCTCGAGGATAGTCGGAAAGAGTGTAGCAACTCTCCACCACTTCCAGAATCGCATTCAGGCTTTTCCAACGCTTCAGTTCCGCAATCTTTGCGCGAGTACAGACATCTGGAGGACGAGAAGAAGCGAGAGGCGCGCCTTAGGGCCGTGTGGGAAAGCTTGCCTGTGGTGTTGTCAGCAGAAAACAAAAAATTCCACTCAACTTTAAACGTTGAGATGACCTCCGAACGGGCAAAAGCGCTGAAGCACGCATACCTCGTTGAATTGACTGGAAAGTGCACGCATCCATCGCATTATCGTGGCCAAAATGCCTCATCGCGCTTGGATTGGGTTGCGTTTAAGAGGTATGCGGATGCCAAGGAGAGAGGCAAGCGAAATCCATCCTTTGTCGCTTTTGAGTCTTACATTGTTTCTAGAGTTGTGGGCGATCTTTCATGATGAGCTAGATCTCGACGGTAATGGACATTTAGATGCCGCCGAATGGGCAGCTGCGTTGCAAAAAACGGGTGAGTGTTCTGTTGATCGACCTACCTGACGATATTGACTTGGTTGCCCAAGGGATATATATGTCTCCTCAAGCTTTATCTGATTTCATGACTGCCGTCACTTCTTCTCCAGATTCCCCTGCCATATCCTTTACAGAATTCCGCGACTATTTATTACTCCTGCCGAGAGAGATCTCTCCAAGAGAAATACACCAGTATTATGAAATGAGGAGGCTCATGGGTGACGATGGACGGGGCCCAGCACGTGTCACTATGGAAGGTATGCTTTTTCGTGTGATCTCTTCCAAGTCGCGCGGAGGTTGAGGTTGAGATTGATACCAGGTGACGTCAGTCTGAGTGGTGAAGATAGCTCGTATCACACCCAATCACATCATGTAACAGCTGAATCATGGCAGCAGTCGCTGCCGACAGCTGACCATTCGTACGATGACCATCATGATGCTGATGATACAGATGAAGAGGAAGAGGAAGATGACAGTCACCACCTCCTCGGCTCTTCGTCCCTCAAGTTCCTACTGGCGGGGGGCGTCGCCGGTGTTGTCTCGCGGACAGCAACCGCCCCTTTCGACCGTCTGAAGGTGTACTTGATGACAACTTCTATTGATCTTGTGAGCTCTAACATCTCATTGAATGCTGCACCGGCGACGTCGAGTGCACTCCAACGAGGGACACAGGTAATATGGCGAGCCATCCTTAATATTTATGCTGAGGGTGGTGTGCGAGCTTTTTGGGTTGGTAATGCGTTGAACACCGCGAAAATAATGCCGGTACGAAGTGTACCATTCGGCTTTTCTAGTATGGCTAACCTCATCGCTCAAAGGAATCGGCCATCAAATTTATGTCGTACGAGACTGCAGTATGTATCGCATTATCCTTGCAACCTCTATCAACCTCACCCTGCACTCCTGTGCTGGCATAGAAACAAGCATTTGCAAAATACGTCGATAAGGTGGACGACCCACGCGAGATTTCTGGTGTTAGTCGATTCATCTCTGGTGGCATTGGTGGGATGACGAGCCAACTTGGTAGGACTACTTGACCTATCATATGATACTCTCTCACTTCACGTAAATCGTAGCAATATATCCTATAGAGACTTTGAAGGCAATTATGACCCCGAAGATCCATTTAGCTTGATCTAACTACTTCATAGACGCAAATGATGAGCACCGCTGGTAGCCAGACAAGATCATTGATGCCTTCAATAAAACGTGTCTGGGCGTTAGGTGGTTTCCCTGCCTATTATCGCGGGCTTGTTGTGGGTGCCACCTTGACTTCGACTGCTCCTTCCTCCTCTTGATTCTCCTACCCACCCAGATTGGTCTAGTTGGGGTATTTCCTTATTCCGCCATCGACATGTCCACCTTTGAGGCCCTCAAACTTGCATATGTGCGTTCAACAGGTATATCGGAGCCGGGCGTATTAGCGCTCTTGGCCTTCGGGAGCATTAGCGGAAGCGTGGGCGCTACATCCGTGTACCCAATCAACCTAATCAGGACACGGTTACAGGCGAGCGGCTCTTCGGGGCACCCCCAGCGGTATGATGGAATGATGGACGTTATAAGGAAAACCTATTCAAAGGAAGGCTGGAAGAGTTTCTACAAAGGTTTGGTCCCAACCCTTGCTAAGGTGGGTAGCATAGCTGTTCCTTGTTCATTCCATAGCTCCCGCTCATTCATCCGTGCTTCAAGGTTGTACCGGCCGTCTCGATATCGTATGTTGTTTACGAAAGCACTAAACGGCAGTAAGTCATTGCATTCCACTATAATAATCATTGCCTCACGGCGAGCACAGATTAGGGGTTGCGTGAACTTGATCGCTCTCCTGGTTTCATCACGGACCGGCCCCCGCTGGCACACGCTTGCATACACGATTTCTATGCTTAGACTACATTCTCCTACGCTACCTGTGATATTATATTATGTTAGTTGGACTCTTTGCATCCTAGGTATATGATATCGGCAATTACTTCAACTTGGTGTTCATTATGTTTACATCCACACCCGTACAGTCCGGTGCCGGTCTTACGCTTGGAAACAATCTCATTAATCATTGCACAAAACCTGTTCCTTCGATGGTCATCAGGCTACCTTTGTGGAAGGGGAAGCTCGTTTTCCAGGCCGTTGTGTACCAATCGTCCCCGAGTCCTAGTAGACTCGTACCCCATCCACCCGCTGACGTGTTGAGGTCCTGGCCACGGTGTGGCATCGGAGACGGTGCGTGGACCTGTATCATTCGTGTTGTTTGGGGGACCCATTAAAGCCTGGAGTACAATGTGCCCGTTGCCCACAGGCCTCGGGGAATGAGGATGAACCTTTAACCTGTCAATATTTCGCCATTTATATTTAAGACACCGTAGCAAACTGAATAAGCAAACGAAGGAATTTAGTCATGAATTGTACATGATAAATGCGACTCTTGGCCCTAATTTTTCCTTGCCTGCTTCTGCTTGGTAGAAAAGTGATTCCGTGATAAAGTTGTATCATGCGCCTTAGGTAACTGTTGCACGGCATTTTCAGACGTTGGGGACGTCTTCAGGGTTCACCTGAGATACGAACAACCATATTTTTGAGGCTAGTAGTACAGACGCAGTTACACAAAACATTCAAAATTTTGTGGAGATGGGGAGCCTATTTACTTCGTGGGGTCAGCGATTTTAATGTCGAAATTGTGTTCACTAGGGATATCAATGATGAGATCCCCTTCTTTGGTCCTGGTAATCTTCCTCGAGACAACCTTTGCGTCGATTTTTGAATCGATGACCACGGCCGAGTCCGACTGTGAGAAGAGACATTTAGCATAAATGCTCTGTTGACATTTGATCGACCGTGAGTGAAGTGATCACCTTCAGTATACCAAGGTACAGCTTTTCCTTCAAGTGATTGACCACGTCGCTTTCGCTCAGCCCCAATGCTTTCTTTTTTTGAAGGTCTTGAAGCTCGGAGGTCAAGTGTACATAGCCTTCAATGTCTTGTTCTGCGCGACTGTCGCAATTTGGGCACTGGTTGCGCGCGCTGTAGTTGATGAAAACATCGTGGGTACCAACAGCCTTCTTCCTCCATTCGGCAATTGTCTTTGGATATTCTTCGAGGAAGACGAATACAGAGAAACTCTTGTCGATCACGAAGCGCTTTGACAGAATGCGAACGGACCACGACAGAGCGGACCGCGTCTCTCCGGTGGGCTCGTCGCCGAAGATTGAGTACTTTCCATATAATTTGTCGACTTCCGTTCGAATGTGCGCCTTGAGTTTGTCATTGGGCACGAGGCCGCCATTCTTGTCTAGATATTCCGGATAGGTGTGATTGAACGTTTCATGAGAACGAATTTCAGCCGAAGTCCACCATTTGTCCGTGTCCTCGCCCTCGTCCTTGGGCTTCCGGAATGGGTAAAGAGCTGGAGGTGGTGAGCCTTCAGAACCTGATCTCAGACAAGAATCAGACTCCAACCTGTTGGTTCGTTTTCATGAACCCATACGTCCGGATGAAGCGTACTCCACAGAGACAACAACCTATCGACTTGGGAGTGATGAAGGAAGAACAAGGGATCAAAAGCTGAGAAGTCCAAGTCAACAGTTCTGTCTTTCGTTTGTCTAGTTTTCGGATCGCACCTCCCAGACCGCTATTGAAATGGCCGTTGAATCCCACTATGTTGTGGATAGTGTCGTGCACCGCCTCCAGACTGCTTGTACCTCCCTTACGACCCCCCCCGCTTTTTGCCTTGTTGCTAAAATCATCCCACGTGAGAATATCGAACAGGTCGTGAGTATTCACTGTAAGTTGTTTCTGTGCGGCTTTGAAGGAACTGGGAATCATAAGCAACATTAGTTTAGAACCGGATGGTTTTTTCTTGGCTCGCCTCTTGATGGATTCTGCCGAATCTCTGCTATATGGATGCCTAAGGGTTCTGTCGAAACCCTGGTACTCGGCGGGAAAGCTGCTCTTCGAGAAACGGGAGTCGAACTGATAATAAAGGAAAGGGTTTTGCAAGTGCTTGCTCCCCTCCGGCGTTTCAATATCGAAAGTCTGTGTAGAGAAAAAAATGTTGAGGAACGACGGATCCCGCTCCTTGGCCCAGTCCCAGTAAGGCTGGCGTAGATCCTCTGCTGCTCGTACCCATTTCTGTTTGTCTGTGCCAGCATATCTGTTTGCTATCTTGATAGCACGCTCCTGGATGACTTGCTGAATCACGAAGTGCATCAGGCCTGCATTCAGCGTTCCAGGAATGGTGGGGAACATTTGATGACTTACCTCGAAGAGAGCAACGTAAGGTCTATGCCAGGTCGGGAAGAGGGGTGAGGCGTGCTGGCAGTATACACCTGTGCCTGGGGCATTGTTCCAAAGAATAAGAGGAAGCCCGTGAAGCGAGCTAATCTGATAATACGACGTAATGAGGCTTTCCGGCAACTTTTTCACTTCGACTGTGAGGTGATGGAAACTGTAAGGATGACGTGAAAAAATTTAGCGTGGAAATTCTTAACTGACTCAAAGCCTGAATGTACAAAGCAAAGAACCGCTTGTCCTTACGAAACTCCTCAATCTCCAGTCGAGGAGGTGGCGTCTTACCCTCGCGTTTCTCCGGTTTGTTCGCTCCAGTAATGTCGACTGTTCCTTCAAGGACCTGGGGAACCTCCCCAAGACGCTTCTTTTGTATGTCAGGGGGTGGAGGGGGGATGCCAGTAATAATGTGAAACTCCTGCAGTTTCGTTGGTAATCCATTTTCGGGCTCCCGCACGTTATCCAGGATTATCTGCAACGGAGCTTTAGGATCCTCGTATAAAGGCGAGTATGACACAACCCACTGGTACACGGTGAGAATCCTTTGTAAGATCAAAAGTCCAAGCCCTTCCACGATTATCTTTAATCAGACTGTGACGGGGGGTCAGTAGGCGGAGACAGTACATGGGAGCTTAGCCTTCATACCTGCCTGCGCCGGTTTCTACAATATTCCACTCGACCGCATCCTCCTTGTTATTGGTGTAATCTATCTGATGGTCGTAATACCCAAATTTTGCCCACTTCCCATTACTAACTTGAATCTTTCGGCCCTCCCGACGAAACTGAAGCAGGTTCAAATAAGATCGTTGACGAAGACGATGCGTAACTTACGATCTGTGTATCGAGCCCGAAACGGAAAACATCCGCCTGTAGGCAAGAACCAGGAACGAAGGTCACTGCCAGCCTATGGCCAGTGTTGGGAACGATGATCGTTTCGTAGCCGGAAATGTCGGACATGCTGCACGAAGGATAAAGTATGCTGTTAGGATGAGGGCATCTTTATAATGGACGGAGCGACTCTAAATAGTATCCAGTTTGACACAAAGAAATGGGGACCCAGGGATCGGGTGAATGGAAATGCGCAATCGGTGCATGAAGAGCTGTGACAAGAAATGAACAATAGAAACATGAGCTCCGTATTGTTGAAGAACCGCCCTAGCCGAAAAATCACTCTACGGGTCATCCGATGGACAGTACTACCAACATGGTCGTGCTCAGCAGGTTCGACTGAGAAAGGTCATGGGGGCGACGCGCATGAATTGATACCTGATCGAGCGTGGCCTATCTGGGTCTTCCACCTGTTCAAGCATTTGCTCCATGTATTGTCCCTGACTTGCATCTATCTCCCAAGCGAAAGAACTGAGAAGCAACTTGTCCCTGGTCTGGATCTGCAACATTCTTGGAGTCAGAGGTCGTAAGCCTGGCACGACATTGAAGGCATCTATCTCGTAAGAGCTGAGATGCATGCATGCACACGGCTTCTGGCTGGTCTACTAGATCTGCATCATTCTTGGAATCGAGCCCGTAAACCGTTGATCGGATTCAGTTCATGCCTGTTTGCATATGCCGCCCCATCATGAAGTCGTGCAAAAGTATCCTGAAAGGACTGTGTATACTGTGTATTCTAATGACTAAATTTAATCACTAATAAGACCGGATGGATGCCGCGGTATTCGGCCTCATGGCGTGGCTTCTACAATCGGTGGGGGAAGTCTCGCCCAGCGGCGCAATGTCAAGCACCTGGCCCAGTTGCAGCCAGCCTTGTGACCCAATGCTTCCGAGTCAACCAGACTTCCGAATCCGCGTGTCCAGCCGTAGATACTAATGGAAAATGAAAAGCTCTACTGGATCGAGGCAGGTTTTGCTTATCGGACTACAGAGTCTCATTGGTTGATCCGCGGCGTACGAATCGATGCTCCTCGGGTCATGTCAGATCCAACCGAAGTCATCGAACTGGCGCTCGAATCAATTTCCATTCAGCCTCGTGGTCACAGGTTTGACAGCTTCATCGGCGGAGTTGCGCAATCTCCGCAGAGCAATTGTGGTTAGAGTTGTTTTTCACCCTTGCTCACGATCATTGCGCCTCTCAACTCTCCAACGGTTGTCATGGTGCACCAGGTTCTGGGGTCCGCCACTCCGCATTAGTAGTAGAGGTGGGTGAACGGATTTCATCACACAATGCTGGCAAATCGGCTGGTGGGACTAGATGCAGGTTTTCTCACGTTCCTGTCCGCTGATTCTTATCGTTGATGCAGAGATCGGCAGCATTGTATACACCGGGGTTAAGCGGGAAAACTCAACCAAATCGGCCGTTGCTGCCAATCCGTCAGTATTCACTAGCGCGCATCTACTTCATTTATTTCCCTCGTGGAAAGGTGGAGTGCGCATCTATTTTCAGGGCTGAGAAAATGCATGAATCTCGTCCTTTAGATCTGAGCCATCTTTAAAAGGTCTCAGGGATCATGCCCATATTTCGGGCTTCACATGGATGCTGTTACTTCAAGTTCCAGAGCCTCGGCGAGAGAATTATCTATCATTCGCTTCAGCAGGAATTCCTAATAGAGGCTGGTGACCTGCCTAGAATTCATCCTGATCGTGGTTGAACAGAGCTTTCGCCCTTGCGCATGGAAATGCGTTTCAATTTTCCAGGGGTCTTGTGACCCACCCCTTCCATCAAACTTTCGAACCTGCACTAGTAGGAAGCTAGAGACAGGCAAACGGATTTCACCCATAATCTGATCACGCAATAATTAGAAGTTTTGCTAGATTCGGGTTTTGCTTGTCCGTCCCGCGCAAGCTTTACTTGTTATTGGTCAACGGACAGTCTATTAATCACAGCTATAGCAATGATTGTCGTATAATTGCTGTTCGCGGATTTCCTCGGCGGCGGAAGAGACACCAGAGTCGCTCGCGCGTGGCGATGCAATAATATTTGATCGCATCGCAGAGTTCTAGCTGATCTTGACCCTTCCGCGTTGTGCCTCTTCATTTTTATGAGTTGGAGAATCCCCGTGACTCGCAGAGAGGCGATTTGGCACAAATGTGAACGTGCGGGCCAGTGGATTCGGCTTAGAATGACCATGAGGTGGTTGCGCGTGAATCGATGCCCACTCTCGTTTTCATTTGCGCGCGCATCGCTGCTTCATGCATCGTCATTATGCAATGATATCGCCAGGCACAACATGACCTCCGTAGCGAAAAGCAGCGAGAAGCCTGAATTATGCATACGGCTCGATCCTGGTCCAGATCTGAACCGATGTTGTGGAGCTGGATTTCTTGTGGAGCTTCCATCATCGGCGAGAGCGGTCTCGCCCCTGGCCCCGTTCAGGGATTGTAGTTGAACTGATCATTCACCCTTGCGCGTTGTTTCTCTAAGGGGCCTTGTGATCCACTACTTCCATCAGGCTTCTGAATTCACATTAGTGGAGATAGCCAATTTTAGTTGTAATGACTGCACAATCCTGGAGAACGGCCTGACCAGGGAAGGCTTTCCTAAGTGCAGGCCCTTCGCAGCGATCAGCAGTCTTGCCATGAATCGGTTCCATGGTGTACAACAGACATTCGGAGTTATGATTCCTATCGACGAGGATTCCCGAATGAGCCGCCATTTACTTCCCAAGACGGCCCCCTATCGCCACTGTCCATATAACACGACGGTGCCTTCATTCTATGCCCTTGTGGTGCAGCCAGTAATTCCTCCTCCATCATGGGTTCTCAACAGGAAAATATCTATACTTATGTTCGTACTCAGACCTCATCCCTTCGAGCGTACAGAACTTATATCAATGTTTAGATTGTCAACAATGAATCCAATACTGTGGCGGAGGCCGCGGGAGGCGACAACGCGGTGAGTTAGGGCCTTTATCAATGTGTGTTTCATGTGTAACATATGTTTAAACAGTGAGTGTGACTACCTGACTCGACAGTTGCATCATTGAACTAAACATGAACCATGATGACATCAAGGCTTGTTGTTGGCTATAAATTGTTGCCCGAGCGCATTGAAAATCAGAAGGTTCGGCCCAGCAGAAGCACTTTATGACTCTCATATCATCTGAGCAAATCGTTGTTTATAGTGGACTTTGGAAAAGGCGGACCAGCCTGATCTCTTCTACATCAAGACCGGGCCCAAGGCCGACTCCGGGACTGGCCAGGGCCCTTTTTACCTTAACATTGATGGCAAGCCGGTCGTCGGTGCGGTCATCATCACTACGAAGGGGCCCGGGCAGAAATGGAGGATTCGTTTTGAAGACCCTGTACTGAATACCTTCAAGTAACGTACCCTTGTGCCCGAATGCTTGAGGTACAACCCACTAAATCACTACTTAAGAATTTTGTATCCCGGAGCGCATCCCGAAGGGGAGCTGGCTGTCAATCTGAGTTATGGTAGTTCTGCGTCTGGAGCTCCTCTCATTCTCTGGGGCCCTCCGGATGAGCAGAAGCAGGACCATCAGAGGTGGAAATTCGTTCGGATCGAGCCTCCTTCGCCATTCGAATTCCACCGTCCTTATGTGGTGAGCGCTTAACATCGATTGTTATTGAGTTATTTTATGACGGACGACGAACAGATTGTCAATAGCAAAACAGGGACTGTAGCCCAACTTAAGGACAATCAAAAGGTTCGTTTGCGTTTTTTTTTTCCTTGTTTAGAAATCCATATTCTAACCTCTGTCCTTCCCGTAGTTAGCTTGAGTGTCCTTGCCCTCCATAAATGAAGCTAATTTATCGACTTGAAGCAATACCGATATTGGGGCATACCTACTCGCAGAGTATGCGAAAAGGGAGAGGCAAGAGGTACGGGTCCATTACAAACATCGACATCAGATATTGATATTATTATTTCATCGTAGTGGACGTTCGAGAAGGCCGATGAGAAGCAAAACAATTCATTTTTCATTAAAAGTTCGGCGGGATCCTACCTCGCTGTCAAAGAGGTCAAGACGGGAGCATCTATCATCCACACGAGTGATTCCAAGAACAAGGGACATTGGTATTGGGAGGCGGACAAGCGTGATCCCACAAAATTCAGGTATTTGTTCTCCCGTATCTGTTCTTCATAGGAGTGTTTGGACCGACGAAACTGCGTTTTATTCAGTATATATCTCCGGGAATCCCGGGAATCCGGCTCGAAGTTTCTTCTCGATCTTGATCGTGGTGTCGCGACGCCTGGGGCGAAAATACAGCTGTGGGACCCGAAAAGTGAAACATCTGATCCGGATAATCAACACTGGAAGTTCGTGCTGTCGACCGCTGATCCGGAACTGGCAGTCAACTTGCAGAATGAGGCGGAGGTTGCTTCTCAATACTACGACGACATATACTTCCCGGAAGACAGTATTTGGAAGGCCTGGGTTAAAGTGAATCCAAAGAGTGAAGGTATTGTCATACACCGTTTCGACCGGCTGAGGATTATGCACTTACGCCGAGTCACAATCGGGGTTGGCGGCGATCACCAGAGTTATTCTTTCCTACGCGGTAAGACACATTGCTAACAGTTGGTCTGCGCTGGGCACTGATGAACTTGAATATCCACGTTGCGCCCACCGGGTTCCCCTTTCTCCCGAAGCGAAAATAACGAGGAATACAATTCCCCAATCTTAGTTAAGAATACACATGTTCTTCAGATCAGCGGCCAAGACGACATCAAGAAATTAAGCAATCAAGAAGTGTGGATTCGGGGAGACTGGCGGTTCGCCGTCTTCCAGATTTCGGGGAAACCGCAGAAAGGACGTGAGTCTTGACGACTACTGCAGGACCATTCACCACGCTCTTACTAATCGTCTCTACTCATCGTTATGCAGGGATCCTTTACAGTGAGTGCTGCATTCAGGAGGTTCAGTGGATTAATTTGCTGATGGTTGATTATGCAGACGATGCGAAATATGTTCAAAACCAATAAGGGAACCGCTAGTTCGTCCCATTGACGTACTCGAGTGTTCAGTTCGCTTGTGCTCATCGTGAGAAGACTGCCATATGTGTATAATTTCCGATGTTGTAAATCACAATGCCTGCCCGAACGAATGGAATTTCTTTGTTATCTGCGCTTGCGATGTTGTCCGTTCATATGCCCAAATAGTCTTTAGCCGCAAGTTGCAGATAATCCCTTGCAGAACAAGGGTGCTGGTGAGGGTGGAGGATTCGCAAGGGAGAAGCAGGTAGGTGAAGCTATGGCCACAAACTAGGATTCAGGATCTGGCTAGCGCCAACACTAAATCGCAAGTGAAATCTGTCCGATCGGATGTATTGATGTCAAGATCCATAACGGGTCACCATAGATCAGATTGACGGGGAATGTGGGCAACTCTGGAAACCAGGGGGGTGTGCCAACCATGTTTAAGGGCATGAAAGGGGGCGACAGTGTGCGCAAAGTGAGCAGCGCTCGAAAGTGATAGTTGAGATGAAAGCAAGTTGAATTCAGTTTCTTTTGTTTTCCCAGTAGCCTTCGCGATACAAATGTATGTATTTGGGGTTTGTCTTGGGAAATGCCAGTTCGCGGTTGAAGTCAGTTTGACTACCAAAGATGTAAATTTCAAGCGCATTTTATTCAAACCCAAATGTTTAAGGGCGTTATTTGCGTATTGAGTGCGCTTTCACATCGCTTGAAATTTTGCGTGTCACACGTCCCAGTGGTCGATCGCATCCTGTGCCACCGCAAATCTTCTCCTTGACAATAGCTCAGTCAGTTGAAATGCAGCCCAAAACGAGAGGATATCGATCAGGTGCATGGTTGCACATGAAAACTGCGCAGCCGCGCCAAGGAAAGTGGTGTTTCAAATTCAACTACGGTTGAAATGCACGCCCGGGGGTTTGTGACTAGGGCGCCGTAGCCTTAGAGGTGTATCGTGTGTTTGATCGCTGTCCGGTTTGCCTCCCATAAATTCCGTAGCGGGGATCGTCCCGCGTGTGGGCTCACTGACTTGGAGGGTCAGGAATATCCCGTTGGTTCTGAACCAGTCCGACGGGACGCCGTCCCTTTCGGGGAGCATGCCTCTCCAGGTTTCGAGTACCAATTTTCTGGAAGGGCTTTGCTTCCATACTTCTTTCTGTCTGTCAGGACGATCGTATACGTCATTATCAATGGCGAAGAAAAGATCAATAAACAAAAAAAATAGTAGAAGAATAATAACGACGGACCTATTCCATATCACTAGAAGGCCATTCGTAGGAGCTCCTCTGGGTTTGATATGACTCAGGTTCCGGCATGCTTCGCGCGGTCGTCTCCATCCACAAATGTAGCAAGCCAGGGAAAAGGAGGTACTGAGCATTATTTAGGTTAGTACAGGGAGTAGGTGGTGTGTTATGTTTGTGGTTCAGGGCAGGGCAGATTGTTGTTTATCGTGTGCAGCAAGGTGGGGAAGGGGTCAATAAAGTCTTAGAGAGAAACGAATAATAGGTGCCTCACTGGGATGATGCCTAGCTAAGTGGCCTGGAGGAGGCAGATAGTACACAGCAAGACAGATATTGCGTGTTGGAGAAAGGAGCAGGATTAGACGATGTCGAAAGTTTGAAAGAACAAGGAAATACACGTAAGCCACATGGGGGATGGAGAGACGGAGAGACGTGGTGGGCAAGCAAAAGCAAAAGGGAATCGATTGTGAACTTATGCTGTGCATGTAGTGAGAGCACAATGACTATTGCCCATCCATATCCAAGGTTGTGCTATATGTTTGAAAGCATGACAACGTCGGATCTTCGTTGGGAAGAGGGTAATATTTCCGTGGCTCTGCCTACTAGTAAGCTGTACATAGTTGCGCAACTACTTCGTTCAATACTTAAGCATTGATACGCCACGATGTACTTAGTCTCGTTTGTGCGCCGAGTGGTCGTGTCATCGGTTTGACAAATCGTGTTGTCTGGAAGTGTCGAGTGGGTCTTGTCATAGGCAGAGCATGAGTACAGTATTGCGCGTCATGCGGTTCAAGTTAACAGAGGCTGGTTACGCTGACAGCCCAAGCTCGCGATCATGGTTGTGACGTGGAAAATGTTACGTACAGTCCGATTTCCTCTCCGAATGAAGGCGTGAGTCAAGACGTGCGAATGTTAGTGACGGAGGTTTCCGTTTTGCTCTTCAACAGGTGATGTTGGAACGCCGTGATGACCGTCTTCAACATGCTTCTTTGACTGCGGCACCCTTCTGGGCGTGCAAGGTACTATTGAGGTACTCTGTTGACTGTGCGGTTTCGCTGATATGGCCGAGTTGGAGTGCCGATATACACATGACGTGCCTGGAGTACTGTAACTGGAACCCCCACTTGTCTCATGGCCGCTGATCGATCAGGGGAAGTTATGCTTCGGTGCCACCAGCGATCAGAATATTCACCCTGATGGCGAGGGATATCCTGGTGTTCCGTGTGGCGTAGTCCACATTCAGTGTCTCCAGTCATTTTTTTGCCCATACTTTCTTTCACTGCGTGACTCGTGGATTATGTATAGTGCTTTACGCAAAATCACTACATGAGAAGAATACTTTGCCATACAAGGTTGACTTCGAGTGCGAAGTGACCACCGATGGGGAACCACTATCTTGCATGCTACGTCAACGGGCTCTATTGTTGTTAACGAATCATTGATTCAACAGATCGGCAAAAAATATATAGATTGCGTTCCTTCCTTGTGCTCCGGCTTTCGAAGCTGTACACCCGATCTCTGGCGTCGGTCAGCATGTTTCAGGCTCCTTGTGCTCCCTTGCCGTGCTTGGCGGTTCCCCCGCAACCGCTGATTGCCGTCAGATGGTCCTGATCGCCCATCTCGGGGCGGGCAATATCTCTGGAGTCATTTTCGTGGATGCTTTCGATGAATGGACGTGGTGACTATCCCCTTTGTGCCACCAATCCGCCCTCAAGTATTGTACTAGGACGTCCATGGACATGTTCTTGGCCCTACTTTAACTTTTAACGTCTCTTCCTCTCCTTTCTTCCGGCTTCTCTTATTCCTCCGATGTACGCACTGTCATACACGCACGGCGCATAAGCCAAAATCTTTAGACTTATTTCTAGTCCAATTCGGTTCAGTTCGGCTCGGTTAGATTGTTAATTACTTATATCAGATCGGTCTTTGTTGTGGATGAACAACCTCACGAGCACTGTTCCTGGTATCTATGATGTGTCGACGTCCGTAGGACTAGGATCAGGGACGATGAAACCATGATTTTACTTACGTCGAGGCAAAACCGTGGAATGGGTGCGGGTGGATGATGCCAGGAGTGAGTGAGCGATACCTATTGTTGACTAATGCCTCTGTCACAAATGTGTGCAGACAGGAATAAAGAAGGAAACATCCAAAACTCGTCCAACTTGAATCCGCTGACCACTTATCGAAAATAAAATAGGAAGGCAGTTCCGACGCTCATGTCGGATCTGGGATGAATCAATGTAAGTATGTGTGATATCCTTATGTGGTCGGCGCTGGAGGGTCCTGATTTGTCATGACCTACACATGTGGAAAAGGGGAGGGGCATTCATGGATCCATTTACCGTCATGAAACCCATTCGGCCATCTCGGTTAGGTTAGTGCCCGTCCTGGTCAACATGGTGACAACTCCTGCTCGTTGCTTGTTATTCTAAGCACCCATGAGTCCTGTTATTCAGCGCACATGAAACGATCATTCGTACTCGTCTACGTAACATTTCACTCTTTTCCTTGGGTGTAGGGCGACCTGAGAACTGGCACATCTATATATACTCTGGGCAAGAGGTGCACTATGGACTCACTCATCCCCTCATCGACTTTCGTTGACGCTTCTAAGCTTCTCTTGACTCACAAACTGCTTGGCGATCATGATAACTAGGCCTCTCTCGACCCCTTCATTCTTTAGCTTCTTTTCTCCCTTCTTCCTATTCCTCATTCAGCAACAGTGTGCGCACGTCGGGGTCTATGGAGCCAGTTTGCCGTCCCCTCGTTCCCAGTATGGAGGTCAAGATGGGGCTCGCTGGAATGCAAGTACAGATCCCATAGTTCTGACTCGTCGAGCCTCCAAATCAAATTCGTTTGAGGTTGTCGGGAATAGGTGCGTTGTGTCCATCGAATCGGAGTCAAAAATAGGAATTGAACCCGGAATTGTAATATTTTCAGTGGAGTTGCTGCACAGGCGATGTTCCTTGGAACGGAGAACAAGGTCAGTTCAGGATCTACTTCAAAAATTGTTTTGTTTTTGCTAACTCGCGTATCATGGCAATCACAAATTCCTTCGCTGCTGTTGATCCTTTCTGCCACAAACAAAAGGTCTACATCGTTGACCGTGTAGAATCGAACCCGATACAAATAGCCAACCATCCCGCTTGGGCGGCCGAATATTCGCTATCTAACAACCAGTTTAGAGCGATGGATATCAGAACGGATACATTTTGTGCTGGTGGCTCAAGTTTGGGGGATGGGAGGTGGGTGCATGTTGGTGGCACTGGCAAAGTGTCGAAGTGGGATGAAGACGGAAGCCAGAGGTGAGTGTTTCTAAAATCATTGAGTTCGTTTTATACTGATGATTCGTAGCGTGAGGTTGATATCGCCTTGTGATGATGCCTCGTGTCAATGGATAGAAGACCCGAAGAATGCTATGTCAACAACCCGGTGGTATCCTTCAGTGTTAGTATTCATTTATCTTTTCGGCTGGTACTCTTTGGCATTCAACTCGAATCTCAAATCTGGACGATTCCACTGACGATGAGCTTATCTGCCCTCTTAGGGAACCAATGGATGATGGCAGTGTGATCATCATTGGGGGGCTACATCGGGCCCCCGGTTTATAAGCTGTATGTTTGTTCCCGTTCTCTATCCATGTGCCTTCCTCCCAACAGTTCCGTTTGCTCTCCTCTTTGCAGCCCCAAGCGTAAACAATCCAACCTACGAATTCTTTCCTTCCCGTGGCCTACCCGTGCAACTTCAATTTCTCAAGGATACTCTCCCTGCCAATATGTACCCCCTTACATGGTTGTTACCAAGTGGGAGGGTATTCGTACAAGCAAATTGGGGGACAATGATATTGGATGTGAAGAGCGGGAAGGAGACCAGGTTAGATAATGTTCCGAAGTGCGTTTCTGTGGTCTTGCATAAGCGTTTTGTTTTTTGAACTAATCTTAATTCAAAAACAACAGTGCTGTTCGAACATACCCCGCTAGTGCTGCCACGGTTTTACTTCCACTGACGCCTGATAATGGCTACTCCGCTACCATTCTGATGTGCGGAGGACAGAATAATAATGTGTGGGTGCAATCAAAGAGCTTGGTAAATAAAGCCGCCAGCAATGATTGCGTGAGGATTTCCCCTGATGGTGATGCGAAGTGGAAGGGGGATGCCACCTTGCCGGAGGGGAGGGTTATGGGGAGTTTTATCATCTTGCCAGACGGAAATATTTGGCTGGGGAACGGAGCTAAAACTGGTAGGCGTGAACTCGTTTCAGCAGACATGTGGGTGCATCTGCTGATGTCGCGCACGAGGTTAGGCACGTCTGGTTATGGATCAGGATCATATTTGATTGGGCAGTCCTATGCTAGAGACCCGGTTCTGGCTCCAGTGTGAGTGAAGTTTTGAGGTCACTACAAGTCTTTTCGTAATCGTCCGGTTTACCTGCAGGGTGTATGATCCTTCGACGAGGACGTTCAGTCGGGCAGGGCTAGGTTCGAGTACAATTGCAAGGATGTATCATTCCTCGGCGACCCTTCTTCCTGATGGCAAGTCCCTTTTCTCCGCCCTCAGAATCGTCCCCAATGCTGACTCTCCATTTCATAATAATGCATATCTTTCAGGCTCCGTCTTCATTGCAGGTTCCAATCCCAATGGTGGTGTCACGGACACCACTTTCGCTACAGAGTACCGCACGGAGAAGTTTTACCCTTGGTACTATAGCAACCCACGCCCTCAGCCGATTTCTGGATTACCGGATCGATTGGGATATGGAGGGAATTATTTTGACGTGAGAGTCGCTCGCGGGGCCGGACTGCAAGGGTTGGCACCCGTAGTGGCGGCAGGAAAGACCAAGGTTGTAATTATACGCACCGGGTTTTCGACACACGCGATGAATATGGGTCAGAGGTATCTTCAATTGTGAGCAACGGATTTTCATCTTTTTTTTTTTTTTTCCCCTCCTTCATCTCGCTCATTACGTTGTGGGATTAATAGGGACAGCACGGCAAATGCAAATGCCGACGGATCTATCACAATACATGTCTCTCAAGTCCCACCCAATCCTGCGCTGTTTGCACCTGGCACAGCGTTCTTGTATGTGGTTGTAAATGGAGTACCAAGCATTGGGAAACGAGTCATAGTTGGGAACGGGATCGGGAAACAGGTAGCAAAGGCCCCACAGAGGCTACCTAGACCGTGAAAAGCGCACAAATATCGTCTGCTACACATAGCCATTCATACTATGACATTCGTCGGGAAGGATTGGGGATTATTTCACCGTGATTATGTAGTGGCATATGTAGACTGCGAGGTAATCACGGCGGTGGCACTGCTACTCCCTCCACTCCAGCTGCATAGAGCCAGTCCTATATCCATTTATTGCTATAACATGAATCCGAGCAGTTTTCGAGCTGCGCCGCTTGAATTGTGTGGGCTACCCGTACGGCTTGTTGTTAAAGAGGGACACTCGGATAACGGGGGAACAGAACTGATTAACATTGTCGCCGCACGGGGGTATAATTAGCTAAGGTAACAACAGGATATCAGACAAAAGTGATAAAGAAATGAGATGCACGTAGGCGCTACATGTGGAACGTAGTCAACAGTGAGACACGTAGCACATGTTCAAAGTTGTATCATATCATAGCCGACATGGGCATGGAACATGATGTGCTTACCGGCACGTCGTCATGTCTTTCTCAACCAACACGGCTTCCTACCAGCTACCCTCATCCCTTAGCCCTGTCGTAATAGTACATTGCATTGTATTTGGTGTTTGAGAAACACCATTGCCTGCTGTGCACTGAAGCTGTTTGGTACTGTCTCCGTAGTCCCGGCCATCTCACTGCGAAGTCCAAGGATCCAACCTGGCTTTCACGGGGAAAGCCTTATCTTCATCCGAAACCCTCATATTCTCCAGGAACGATCTCTGTGACGAGGGAAACTCGCTCCATCAGTCAGGGAACAAAAAAAAAAAAACTAGATTGATCCGGGATTTTGCGAGAACTTGGAGAGAATTGCCGAAGCACCAATACACCGTCTGCATTCGTTGTTAGGATCTGGTGTACATTGCATTGGGAGCGCCGTTCCCACCCAGAGTGAGGCTATATGACGCATTGGGTGACATGACAATTTTTGAGACGAGCCTCGCGCGGGGTAAATGTCGGTGCTACTGTCAGCGGTTCCAGCCGATCTTGAGATCCCTAGTAAGTAAGAACACTGTCTAACCCGTTCGACCCGTTTGCCTGCAGCTACACGGTGAGTGCAGTGCATGTTAGTGCAAGAGTTATGCTTCAAGTCCCCGATTAGAGCCGGGTTAACTACATACAGCTAGCTGTCTTTCCACTGATTACCACGGTACCCCTTTACGCTAATCGATCGTTGGTACTGCTGCCTTCCTAGTCGTAAATAGCACCGTAACGGACGTACGATCGGCCATGCAAGTGCGCGCACATGGCGCGATTGGCTTCGGATGTGTGTTTGTGTGCACAAGTAACGTGAAGCTGAGGGAGAAAAATGGTATATACAAGTACAACATTATAGGGTTGTCCATTGTGACGTTCCGTATGGCGTGTACCCATGTGGTAGTGGGCCACCGGCAGGTGGCGCCAGGACAGTCTTTGGAATAACGTTCCCTTAACCTAGCGTTCGCCATGCATGCGATGATTCATAATGCCAGTCACCCACGTACCTGCAGACAAGGCGAAGCTAGCCAGTGAGTTACGTAAGGAACCAGATGTACTTTCTTACGGACTGACTTTGATCGAGTACTATCAGTTGTAGAAGCACATGCGGAAAAGCCTTCCCTGCGAAGGTGGCAGTGGGGTATTGTTACTGGTGCCGTGTAGGGTACAGGAAGCTTCTTTCTTTTTGTATCACTCGATTCAGAGAATGAGGGTACACTCCACCCGGAATCCAGACTCTTGCCCTCATGTTCGTATTTGTTTTGTGTATTGTGCTGTCGGTTTCTTACGTGACTGGGTATTGGTAAGTGTGGGATAGTACCTTACGGAAGCGTTGGAGCCGAGGCCGAATGTGTTCGGGGCTTTTCTCCTCCGGTTCTACATAATTCTTCCTGTCGACAACATCCAAGTTCATGTTCTAGACAATACTGGTGTTGACGTGTGCTATCGCTATCGCTTCATGCACACCCTGTAGCTCCTGTGGACGAATGAGAGTAATGGAGGGAAGGACTGCCTTGCAATTTGCTATCGTCTGTATTTTTTCAATTTTTTGGGGTCCAATTTTACGTACGAGTGAGAAGGAAATAGTAAGAAATTTGAAAGTGGCGCTGGATTGATGTGTATGCTGGTAGATCAGGGCTTTCTCCCTTCTTCTGCACGCATGAAGCAAAGGAAAAAAGAACGGGTACATCGATGAACAAAAAGCGTTTTCATCAGAACACAAACTTCAACGGGACAAAGATTAAATAATGTCATCCCATGTTTATCTTATCGATCTATTTATTACGTCTTCTGATCAGAGTGAATTGAATGAAGGGGAGCAAGGAATTTCGTGGCGCTTATGTGCGTGTCACCGGAGGTTGTTCTCGCGTAACACCGGAAGAGGTTTGCATCCCGGGTGCCATTCTTCCACGCCATTGAATTTTTTTTTTTTTTTTTTGGAAATTTTGGGTGAAGTGACATCGATTTGTGGTGGCCTCGCTGAGTCCTCGCGTGAGCGACTTTGTGTCTGCATGAACATGTTGGGCTTAGTGTGTCAACAACGTGTCTATTTGCCGTTTTGTCGATAACACGTTTCCTAGGCCTGTTCTTGTACATATATGTTAAAGGGACGAATAGAACCATGATTATCGATAAGTTTGGAATCCATTCCCCCCCAAGTTTCTTCCTCTCTCCCACTGATCCATTGGTTTGTACTTTGACAATGAGAGGTTAGCTGAAGCGGACTGGAAGATCTTTGGCAATGAGGGTACGTTGGAGAGTGGTTTGTGCTGGGGAATTATCCATTTACGTCATTGGAACGGGTTGTGCCGATTTGGAATTGGCGGAAACGTTACCCCGCGTAATTCTCCGTTGGTCATATTCCTTCCCCGCTATATTCATTGATTTCCCACGTCAGACCACAATTCAATCTCCTCCTCCTACTGCCTACCATGTGTACCCATGTGTGTTGTCCGTGTCAAGTATCGCTATTCCCCCTCATGTGGCTCACGTATATAGCACCCCGTCTCCTCGCTCTCTTGCCTCCACCTTTTCGCCCTCGCCGCGTTCTTGCTCTTTTCTCCATAACACGCGACCAGCTTGGACTTGACCTACTACACCATCTCGTTTGTTCAAGTTCTTTGACTTGGAGTCATTATAGTAAGGCACCCCTTCATTCCTCTCTTACTTTCTATGACACGATTAATGCCTTCTCCATATGGTGAACATCCCTTAGCCTCACGCCTCACGCTTGTCATCCCCAATTATAAATCATGCTTTTCTCAGTCTCCTCGAAACTCTTCTTCTCCATTGTCTTCTCTACACCCTTCCTAGCACTCGCTGCTAGGCTTCCTTCTTCAGAGGTCCTCGCCCGTTCTCCTTCCGGGAAACTTGAAGATGGAGCCGAAGGGCATTGGGAACTTGGGCGTCAGATCGAACGTAGGGCTACTACCAATGCCTTTCAAGTAGTTGGGAACAGGTCAGCTCGTTGTTGTCCCCGCTGGAACCTTTTTGTCTGATTGGTGACGTTCTTTCTCTTAGTGGTGTATCGGCACAGATGATGTTCTTGGGAACGGCAGACAAGGTGAGTTTATTTACAGCGTAAACCCTCGAGTTCATCCCCCCCTTTTTTGTTTTCCCCCATTCCCTTCGATATGAGCGCGCCGCTCTCACTGATATAGAGTCCTGTTGTGATAACCGGGGAGATGTCCCACGGTCGGACGTATCCCGCGCCCCTGGCGCCCGCGTTCTTTGTTTCTCCGAATTGACGCCGAGACAAAGTGATTGACGACTTTCCTCCCTCCTCTCTTTTCCGCTCGCTACGCCATGGTCACCGTGATGATGACACATGTCGAGTTCTAGGTCTACATCTTAGATAAAGTCGAAAGCAACTCCTTGCAAGTCAACGGTCATTCGGCGTTCGCGACCGAGTATACGCTTTCGAGTGATGGGGTACGTGGGATGGACGTCAAGACGAATACGTGGTGCGCTGGGGGTTCTAGTTTGGGGGATGGGAGATGGATTAGTGTCGGTGGCAATCTCGGAGTGGCTGGATACGATGGTGATGGTGGGGTTGGGTGAGTGGATTTGTTTCCTTTTTGTTTTCCCTTGGCGCTTTTGAGGCAAGGGGGAGGGAGAGAAGATGAGTATCATGTACTGATAAATGCTTTCGGATCAGGGTGAGGTTCCTTACGCCTTGTGATGGAGGCGATTGTGAGTGGGATGATAATCCTGCGAATTACATTTCGACGAGGAGGTGGTATGTTACAGTGTAAGTTTTATGACTGATGGGAGAAGTTTCATCCTTTTGCGCCTAACTTGAACACTTCATTTTCCCCAACCGTCTCTCCATCCTTGTGTCCCTGCCCCTTCTCAACGGTGCTTGTTCGGCATCCCAGTGAGCCAATGGACGATGGAGGAGTGATCATTATTGGAGGATCCACATACGGTGGTTACGTCAACGGTTCGTCTCCCTCATCAAATAATTTGCTCATCTTCCAATCATATGACTCCTTCGAATCAATGGCGTCGTGTCGATCGGACGCAATCGATGCGATACTAATTAACTGTTTACCTACCATCCCCCGCCTTCCTTCGACATCCCCACGCAACATCTATCGACAACCATGACACACAGACGCAACCCGCAACAACCCGACCTACGAATTTTATCCATCCCGAGGCGGGATCAAAACGCTCAATCTCTTAGTCAATACTCTCCCTGCTAATTATTACCCCTTAACTTGGTTGTTACCTTCTGGACGACTCTTCATTCAGGCGAATCTGGAGACGGCGATTTTGGATCCTAGCAGTGGCACTGAGACCAGGATTGCGGACGTTCCGGCGTGAGTAAATATTTTAATTTGTTCTGTTACGCTTTTTTTTTTTTTTTTTTTGCCTTTCCCCTCTTCTTTTTTCGATTCCCAGCATGAGTTCTTCACTTTCGATTCGAGATTGCTTATACCAACTGACTCCCACCTCCCACACCCCTACATCAGTGCTGTCCGCACTAACCCAGCAGGCGGAGCGGCCGTTC